CGTAATGCAGTTTTGATTTCCTTTTTTCTCTCTGAATTTAAATGCTTTAAGTAATACCGCATTAGTCATGCATGCAGTAGGTGTCCAACCACTCCGAACGTGTCACTCGACAAAAATTTTACAAGGAGCAAATACAGAAACTAATATTAATTAATAAATAACTTCAGTATGTTCAGCATTAATATTTCATCTGACAAAAGTATATTTAATCTTCAAAAGATATTTATTAGGAAAATAAATATCTTAATTGAACATTCATGCGTTTTTTTTTTTTTTTTTTTTTTTTTTTTATTTAAGTGCATTTAGACGCAGTAAAGACGGCAATTTTTTTGTCTGAAATTTCTGTTCCTAGTTTACTTTTTCTATGCTTCATATGGCAACGGCCCACCAGTGGCCGAGCTGTAAAGTCGCTGAACACTGGTAGTTCGGTCCGAAATTCGAATCCCGCGAACGGGCTGGCTGCATGGGCGTTTTCGTGGTTTTCCCCGTGTGTAACATGTATACGAGCAAGTTTCCCTTAGAAAGTTCTCCACAAAAGCATCCCTCTTCTTATGCAGATAGCCCTAGTATGCTTTGCCATAATTAAATAAGCCAAACCAACCAGCTTCATACGGTAAAACAAATGTTGTTCACAAATATACATGCTTTCTGACAGAAATTTCATGAACAAGAGGCGTTTATGAAAAACGTTAGAAGGCAATTTTTAATGCTACATTTAATATTTTTAATATTACATTGGAATTCTAAGATATTGTTTTCAATTTAGCAGAGAGGTTTGAAATCATCTAAAAACGCTATCACAAATATGTTGAAATGCAGTTGCTGTTTTCTCAAATCTTGGAATCTGTTCTTTATAATTCTCAGATGAAATGTCAATCGATATCGTGCCTTTTTACTGTTTATCTGATTTTCTCCAATCAGAATTCCACGACAAATTAAGTTTTTGCTTTTAAAATGAAACTGCCACGGTTTCAAATTGATATCGAAAGCCGTCACGCTTTTAAAATTATAATTTATTTGCTGTTTTATGTATTAAATATGTATATTCAATTCAATTACATTGTGAGTTATTTCTCCCGCCTTCTTAGCATGCCTTCGTAGTGTAATGGTCTGCACACTAGGCGCGTATTAGAGATTCGTGGTTCGATTCCCGGCGAGGGCATTGCTCATTTTTCAAGTCTTCTGCTTTCAGTAAAACCTAATGTCTATAGTGGTGCCCGAACTAAAAGGTTGGTGGATGATGATTTTCCACACCCAGGATTTGGCGATTGGGCTAAACCCCAGTTGCCCTTTAAAAGGGGGAGTATATAAGGTATTTCTCCCGCCTTCATAGCATGCTTTCGTAATGTAATGGTCAACACGCTGGGCGTGTATTGCAGAGATCCGTGGTTCGATTCCCGGCGAGCGCGTTGCTCATTTTTCATGACTCCTGCTTCCAAAAATATCTAATGTCTCTACAACATAAATAGTCTTATCATCCAAAGATCATGCAACTTGTTCTTATTTTTAAATTTACCTTCATATGTGCTCGCCCTTTAATTTAATTTTTAGTCATATTACGTAGGCCATATCAGTAGGGTGAGAAGGCCATTTATTAAACACCTCAGTATTCATGTACTACTGATGTATTTAATATACGGGCCTCTCGGCCTACTGAAGAGGCCCATGTCTGCATCTTCTTTTGTTATATGACACAGTAGTAGATTTTAATCTGCTTCTGCCGAGTTAAAAATTAGGCGTTTAATATATTCATAAAACCCCAACCAATAATTGATTTACAGGTACCGGAAAAAATTTACATCGTTTTATCACACTATAGTTTTAAACCTGTTGTGAAATTAGTTTAGATATTTAGATACTGATATCCATACGTATGCAAGATGAAATTTTAAATTTAATATGCAATAACCCAATAAGTATCATTTGGAATTTTATTATTTCTGCTTTTCCTTCTAAATACTTGTATACTAATAATATTACAGTAAATCTTTCTGAAGCGCGTCATTTCAAATTATCTCTAATCTTGTAAGATCTTATTCGTTTTGCTATCATGCAAGTGACTCGATCTTAAGAGTAAGTCTGGCGACTTCTCGCACAGGCACGAAGAATAATAGAACAGAAAAAAGGATGTAAATATCCCTTTTTATTCTCAAACTCTTTAGCAAAAAGGCACGTACTTCGTGCTCACAATAACATCGACTACTTGTGGTGAGAACTTAAGGATCATTTAACAATAAATTCAAAAAGGTAAATAGTAGTGCTAGACTACACAATTTACTTAAAGCTAACAGGCTGACTCAGCAACCTACACCGGCGATAGACTTAATAAAAGGCTAGAGTGCATAACCGCAACTAAGATTAATAGCTGGAGGATAAAATAAAATAGCAAACGTGCTCTACACTAGCGAAATCACGCTCTGTCTAACCTTCTCGTTTCCGTCTGTTTAAATACTTTCTTCACTTAACTTAATTTGCATTCTGGCGAGGAAATGCGAAGGGGAATAAGACGTTCAGAAAACAAAAATTAAAATAATTGGTTATTTAAACTAAGAGAAACCCTACAACCTTATATAACATCGATGGCTCGTGTACTTACATAATTGCAAAAATGAAACTGAAGTCTTTTAGCCAATGTTGTTGAAAAGTATTCAGATTAAGACAATTAATTAATCAACAGAACGTAGCGGTGTTATATATAACTTTGCGTGGTCTTTACGTTATTTAGCCGAGTTATCTTATCAGTTGCCTGTACTTTTCTGTTTTAAGCCATGCCCACGAGACTACAAATTAAATTGTAAAGGGTTTTCTCCAATAACTTTTTTAATTGTAAGGGTTTTCCAGACTTCAGCTTAAAAGGAAATAAAGTAGAAACGATTTCAGCTACAACCAAAATGTTTTCATTAATTTGAAGTAGAATTAATAACAAAATCATAAGTCATTTAAATATCCACCTCAGCGAACACAAGTGACTTCTATGAACACAGTTTTCGATTTGGCTGTATGAAATAATTCGGCCTTATGTCATGAATGCAGCATTCAATATTTATTCTTAATGCTTTCGCGTTTTGTTCACATAGACTATTGATTTCAAATAATCCTACAAAAAGTAATCCAGAGAAGTTAAATAAGAACTTTCGGGAAGCCAATTCACAGTTGTGTTTTATGAAATTATCCTTTCACCAAACATTTTCTTCAATACGTTGATAATAGAGTTAGCAGTATGTCATCTAGCAACATGACATTACTGCTAACGCCACCATCGACAAGGTCATCCAGTACCAACAAGGACCGTCACTACCAACAGGACAAGTAGTCTGGCCATACCCACTTGTCCTGTTGGAATCACATATCTATTCGATGAATGTAACTATGCTGTAAACCATACGGTGACTTTTTTTAAAGTGCAAGGACATATGGTGCCTGTTTTATGGATTATTTTCACACTCAAAACGACAGTTTTGCTTGTTAACATATTCATTCAAGCAGAAATTAGTTCCGTCTGAGAAGATAATTTTTGTGCCCAAAATTAACTGTCTCGAAGCATATATGTATTTAGCCATGATGAATCGCCAGAGCATACTAAACGCAAATAAAAATTAATGATAGAACATCTTAAATATAGCTGCCATTTCGTTTTAAAGTAATATAATTGTTATTGGAATACACTTTACATAAGCACAGAGCTCTTGAATTTAAATAAGAGGCTTGGTGTATACTGAAACATTACTTTGCTTACGCCTCCATGCTATTTCGGTTGATTTATAAGCTTCAACAAGCTGTATCTGCTTCGCGAATACTTAGGGCTGCCCAAGCCAGAGCTTACTTAAGCACGTGTTAATTTGTATTCCACATCTTAATTTGATTGGATAGTCTGAAATAAAGAATGAATGAAGAACAATGAATAATAAAATAAATAAATGAAGACAATGAATAATAAAATAAATAAATAAAATAAATAAATGAAGAACAATGAATAATAAAATAAATAAATAAAATAAATAAATGAAGAACGAATAAATGAAGAACTTCTTCAAAACTGCTATTCTTAATATAATATCAATAGCATAATCTTTCTTATCATGCTTACCTTGATCACTATCGGTTTCCGCCGGTAGTTTTGCCACTGTTCAATAACTGCATCCTGTCTTTGAAACTGCTGAACTGTGCGTACACCTAACTCTGTTGATGTATTGCTTTACAGTGATTCGTTCAATGAATTCTGCAACAAAATAAACAGGACCTTGAATATCCTATAGACTTTAACCTAAAAATAGACTCTAACATGCATTAGCTGTTTTATATTTAAAATAATGCCATATTTAATCTTAAAATAATTTACTTTGAATCATTAAATTAGATTTAATGAAACGATACACGGCTTTCTGTTAAGTGAACAATAATAATTTTTCTGTTAAGTGAGAAAGTAAATTGAAATCCATATTTCCTTAACTCGTTGAGAATAACTACGAAAATACAGTGATGGTTCAAAAAATAATCTTTTATAGTCTTAGAAAGTTAAGAAATAGTGAGTACGTTAGTATAAATAATAAATCTGTTTTAACTTTAATTAAATTTCTTTTAGGGATGTTTTTGCCGTTGTTGAAGTATTCTATAAAATATTTAGTTTATCAGTCGGAAAAAAAAAATTGCTCATTGTTTCATTAATTCTGGTTATTTTGAAGCATGACTCACAGAAATAATTACTTGGAATTTTATTATGGGCTTCCCCCCCTTTTTTTTTTCCTGTGAGAAGCAACGTATAATAAAGAGAAATATTTTCATTTTACGCTTTATCCTGATACCGAATTAAAATTATTTAAAGATTTCTTCTTACTTTTGATATTAACAGCCTTTAAAATCTGTAATTATATAAACATCCGAGTATTATTTAAAAGAAGAGAATAATTATATACGTTCATTCTTTAGCTCAATTCTGTTGCGTTCATTCATAATTATAGACGTTGATTTCTTACAAATTTCTTATAAAAATTTCTTTTTAGGTTTGGCAGAACCTGTTCAGTTACGAGGTCACGAATCTGGTGAAAGTAGTTTCCTTTTATTATGGACAGTAAAATCTTTTAGTCCTATAATTGAATATCAGCTGAAGATTAGAAGACACAAGGTATATTTTAACTTTCTTCTTTCTCGCAAGATCTAAACTAAAAAATCTGATGTGTACACCACATGACTTCCTTGTACGGAATATTAAATTATACGCATTTTTTCTTGCATTTCATTTAAACTTATTGGATTGAATTAAATCTACTTCGCCGACAGCGCATAAACCACAATAGAATAAATGCATTCTTTAAAATTCACTTGTTTACCATAGCGACACTCTGGCGCTAGGTTTACTTAACAGTATTATATTTCGTTCATATTATAACTCAGAATGCACAAAATTTATATCATTTAAAGAATTATCTAATCGTTGCCACATGTTCTATTCAAATACTATAATAAAGCTAGAACGATGTATAAAAGAAATTAAGCAAAACAAAACAAAAAAGAAACAGTTTTTCACAGACGATTGAGTATTTCTCATTCAATTAATTCAGTTCTCACTTCGCGACAAGGCAAAAATACATAAAAACTCAAAATATCTGTATTAAAAATTACGAAGTAAATCTTAAACACTTATTTCCTCGAAAAAATTCCAGAAAGGATTAAGCATGATTTAATTCGCAATAATAAATGAAGGCGTTATCTTTGTTGTTGCGAAGCTTAGTTTCTCTAGATTGGCAACAAATCCACTATTCTGCTGTTTCAAATGTAAACAAAATGCCCCGCCAATTATTTAAAAGGCTTAGCGGCACTTAAACAACTTTTAAAATTGTTGATAATTCTAAAAATATTGCATACAGATTTACTAAAGGCATAAAAACCTTAACCGGAAGATAAAAACAACATAATTCAATCATTTTTAAAGCAAAAAATGTACAATTTACAAACATATAAGAGTAAAGAAACTGAGATCACTGAGCCGGGTAACAGAGTGGATATATATATATAAATATATTTATATACGTTTGGTGCGGCCGATTGCAACCAAAATACGAGGTGCACATCTACATGTTATAGCAGTCCTATATACAAAATTTCAACGTTCTGAGGCTACTCGTTTTTGAGTTATGCGAGATACGTACGTACGCACGTACGCACGTACGTACGTTCGTACAGACGCCACGAAAAAATTCTCTTCAGAATTCATTTTATAGCAGTTTTTTAATTTTTTTGGAGGAAAAGAGTCTTTTATTCTGTCCTTACGTACAGATATCACGCAAAAACATCGTTAAATTGCATTCGATAGCGGTCAAAATGGATATTTTCGTTGAAATATGCTGCCTGAAGCTTTTCGCGCTTACAATACTTCCTTTTTACTTCGTACAAGGAAGTAAAAATGTGCGATTCATTAAAAGTTTTCTTTACTCTGTAATTGCATTTCTTTAGGTGTCTTGTAAAAGCGGCTTCTTTGTTTTCTGAATAAGGCAATATTTTAATAATGTTGATTTCCAAAACTTATTTGCACGACAATTTTAGCATATGGTTATGGAAATTATAATAGCTTTTACAGTTTTTGAATAAGTGCATATAACACATCGTACAGATATATGCCAATGTCAAATACAAAATTCCATGCTTAAGTTGATTTTTTGCATAATTTTTATATTACTTAAAATAACAGAAAATGTACCATATATATTTTTAAGAGCGAGTAAACAATCTTGTGCCGAGATACAAGATACATCGCTTTAAAAATGTCTTTCGGTAATTGCTTTTGGTACTTTTTCCGTTAGAGGAGCTTCAAGCCAAATAAATTGTTTGTACATGCGTTTATACTTCCAACTTCACACCGTTAGGAGGATGTTTAAGTATACACCACAAACCACGTGAAACACCGCGATTCGCTATTTCTCAGTTTTTCATTTCTTTTGATCCTAGAGGATCTTTTGAAACAGAAACTGAGACAGATTTTAAAGTTTGGCAGTTTCCAAGTGATGAAGAAGCTACTATAAAATAGCTCCAAGATAAGAGAAATTACTTACATATAAAGATGGTTCGAATAATCACAACGTAAATAATTATGTTTTGCTTCAGCATCGAAATGGTTGTGCCAACTATGATGCTGCTAGGAAAATCAAGGATTGCGATTCCAAACACGGCTCGAAGGATCACTCATTTCTAACCTTACTGTTGCTCAGCTTACATGAGCAAACGTAAGTTAACATACGTAAGTTAAATAGTAAGTAACATAGTTACGTAACATACGTAAGTTACATAGTTAACATAAGTAAGTTAACATAGTTGAATTCTGTGAAACACATCTGTAAGTGAAACATAATGTGACTGAAGACTGGAACGTCTGCATACATGATGAATGTACTTGTTGCTTTAATATTTGGTCTTAAAAGATAAAAAATCGATGGAAGCAAGAAAATGTTTGAAACAGAAAATAATCCTTTAAAAAAAAAAATTTTTTTTTTCCGCCGCCGTTCTCGACTGTTCAACGGCCGTACCTGAAGGTACTGGGATCATAAGGCCTGATTGCGTCAGTCTCATGTTTTCTTAAGCATAGACTCATTGATCCTTCTCTCTAAACTATAATTTATTTGTTGCACATTACCAATTCAATCTATTTCGCCTAGAAAGTTCTTCACAAGGGCATCCATCTCTCCTTAGGCAAATGGCTTTCACGTATTTTGCCATTATCAAACAATCCAAACCAAACCAACTCTGATGACTTCGTGCATTCAGGGCATTTTACTGCCACATTTTGGGCTTTGCTGGTTTCATGTACTTCTGCATCGTACTTACAACCTTTGTCTAGAAATCCGTAAAGTTTCCTTCACACATTGTGATTTATTTGCAGTATAATTCTTCAGCGTATTATTGCTTGGTTGTACCTAATGATCGCTCCTTTTAGTATAAGTTACACCGATTAGGTATATTGCGAATGCTCTCCCGGCAACTCTCTGCCATAGAATACTGCCTCTAAAAACGGCCAGTATGTCTGAGAGCATAAATTAATCTTCGAAATTGGTAATTATCAGGACTAAAGAGAAGGGCTGGCTCATAGAGCGGTTCCCCCTGAAACAGGCAGTGAGGAGTGATGACGTAGCAATGATGCCACTGAGCGCGGAGATGCAATTGACAACATAGAAATTAGCGTTTTAAATTTGAAGAACCAGCGTTTAAAATGAGCTGTGTGTGAAAGATAGCTATAATTTGGAAGAGACAATGTTACTGCAGTATGTATTTTACACTGAACATTACAAAATTTAATAGTACTTACTCAATTTTAAAATAATAGATAAAATGCGCTACTCTTAGCATAAAGTTCCTTTTTTTATTTGCAGGGATTTTTTTTTTCCTTTAAATGCCTGCTTGTTTCTAATCATTTCTTTATCTGCATGTTAACTAAGAGAACTGTACTACTGCTTCTAAGATAACTATAATAACAGCTATTTAAAATTAATCAAAAAACAACCTTAAATTGGCATAGTTTTAAACATGTATGGTTATATATGGCAAAATTTCTGCTAATCTAAGTTTGAGTTTCAGCCTAATTGTAAATTTTACATTGGCATATTTTTTCTCCCGATTCAATATAATAACATATATTTTTTAAAAATAATTTTGTAACTTAGGCTTACATCAATATTTCATTTAAATAAATACATGTAAGATTGTTATCTTAATTTAGACAAAACAAACTTTACTCGCAGTAGTACCTCAAATAATTATTTAATTTTTAAAAAGTGGGGGTTAAGGGGGCAGGTCTTCTTATGCCAATTACTTTAATATTATACTTTATATATATTTTATCTAGAATGCTAAGCTAGCGCAAAATCGAATCAATAATAACAGAGGGTACAATAAAAATAATTGTAACAATAACTTAACAGAATTAGTTCTCATTTGAAATATGCTTTACGCTATTAACTTCTAAAATGTCATCTAGAAATATTTCAAATCAAAACATATTATATATGCTTACTTGTGCAGTCACAATGCAACTACAAGCTGTTGAAACATTATTTATTGGCTGCCACATTCGAAGCAATCCATTTTTTTCCCTTTTGGGTTGCTTTTCTTTGGGAAAAAACATATGCATTTCTATTTAAGAAACGTATTCTAATAAAAGTTCTTACTCTGCAAAATAAGCGAATTGCTTCTCTGTTAACTTCAGGATAATGTTTCTCCAGTTTATTAATTAAAGAGCCAATTACATGCTTCCCTTTATAGTAGGTTGTACCATGAACTGCACAAAATATGTTTTCGAACTCATAAACTGTATTATCCATGAATGAGAAGGTGTAGTCAAACCTCTAAGGACAATAATTTAATCCATTCTGAATTAAATATTGGTTCAACAGCACTATTTTTAAATATGTTCCCAATGATGGGTCTTTGTCTCGCACACGATAGGCAATATAACCTGCAACATATGTTAATGCTTCTTTTTCGGCTGTCGAAAATTGTCTGTCGGAATTCAATTCTAATTCCCAAGCCATAGGAGAAGGTTCCTCTATGAAATCCAAATCCAAATCATGAATAGTATTTAATGGAAAAGCATCTTCCTCCTCAGTTCTCAAAGCCCTTTCAAGTATTTCGGATGTTAAATATGAATCAATATTTCTGCTTTCTTTAGTCATGCATACTTTTGAAGATAAAATTTGGCAGCTTATTAGCGAGTATTAATTGCTTTAAGCGGCGTATAATTTCACTAGGTGATGGATGGTCATTAAACCTACCAAGCCCTCGAATTTGACTAAAGAGACTTTCAAGTGCATCCTGAGTTAATCTAGAGGTTATAATACATTTAGCATCATACGATGATTTCAAATCCTGGTGTAGGCCAAAAAGAGAATTTATTGAAATTATTATTCCTTTTTGGAAAGGCAGTAAGTTGGCTTTTCCCTGAATCTCATAATCCACCAATGACTTTCTTCATTAATTCCAAAACTTGAATTTGTTTTTCATGATGTTCATTTAATCCAAATGCTGCTTTAAGTATTTTATCTGAAGGAGGGTATGTTTAGTACTATTCATAATATCGAAAAAATTGTCGATTAACTCAAAGAAGTCGGATGCTTTTTTATCTCCTGTGAGGTGGAGTATACCTTTGCTGTAGTTCTTGAAATAATGTTTTCGCTGGAGCGACTTTTTTGTCTCTCGTTTCCCTTGACCATTAAATAATTTGGTTTTAGTTTGTGACACAATTTAATTTCTCCTGAATCTTTATTTAAAAACCTCTTTAATAATATCAACATTTAAAACAGTTCCATCTTCTAAAACAAATCCTTTATCTAAAAAGTGGTTTCTCAGTAATTTCAGGCAATGCGCTAAATCTGCAGAAACCCATATTTTTCTCGTTTGAAATACTGGATTTGGAAACTGAGAACTATTAATCGAAATCTGTAACTCTTTCCACAAAGTAGTAGATCCTCTTAAATCAGACACTATTGCTTTCACTTCTACTCCAGATGATTGAATATGTCTTATGAGTGAAAAAAGAAGTTCTTTCTTCATTGGAGTGTTAAAATCAAAAAATATTGGTTGTTTCCACTGCGAAATGAGACCTCTGATTAAAACAAACTGCACTTTTTGAAAAAGACCGAGAATTTGGTCCAGTTTACAGTCATAGCAGAGTTTAGAAACTATGTGCATTTCGTCGAAACTGAGAACGCAAATTTTTTCTACAGAATTCAAATATTGGCATCTTTCTTTCATTACAGCAAGAACATTACTCTGAATTCCTGAACTACACGAAAATTTAGCGCACCATCTCTTTAATGTGCTAGTGCTAGGTAAAGGAATTCCCATTTTTTTCTTTCCAAAAATCGTAGCTTTTAGATGACAGAGCTCTTATGACAATGCAACGTGAAATATCTTCACTAGTCCACCTGATTTTTTCCTTCTTTTCTAGCAATGCGTTAATCTGTGTCTTTGTAAAAATATGCTTTAGACGTTTTTCCAAATTCTCCGATCTGTTCTGTTTTTTTCCTAAATTTCGCTGTTTAGGATTTTAATTTCTGAATTTCCGATACAAATTTCTTTCTAGATGTCGTCCACCTTCTTTGTCGCTGAGCAAACATTCTAAAATTTTTCTTTTCTCTATTTTTCAATATTTTTACAATTTTTTCTAAGGATATTATTTGTTCTTAAAATTATCAATACATTCTTGTTCATCTTTACACTTAGGGCACTCAGGGATATGTCACATAGGGCATTGTCACTTGTGAGTTTTATTTCAAAATCATTTACATTTGATTTATTATTGTCAGCTTCAATTTCGTTTCTCGGCCTCAAAAAATAATTTTTCTTTGGGCTTAATTCATGTAGTCTTTCAAAAGCACTCTGCATTAGTTTTCTTTTCAAATGTCTCCGAGTTCTTGGTGTTATTTCGTTTACTGCACACGATAAATTTACTTTCGGCACAGCATTGCAATTTCAACAGTTTCTTTTGCGGCAATCCAAGCAAGAGATTTCTCATGTCATCTTCATAATCACTGCACGGAAAAATGTTCGCTGCAAATTCTTGCGTTTTTCACATTAATAGAATCCTGTCTTCGACATTTATGTATCCATTCTTTCGTCAAAAGCAAATTGTCCTTGGGGAAAGCATGAAATACAATATCTCTTCCTATATTTCTATAACTTCTTATATCTTCTTATATTTCTATAAGTGTTACAGCACGTTGCTACAGCACAAGAAGCCATATTACATAAAGGATACTTTAAATATAGAATTTAAAAGGAAAACTGACTAAAACTATATATATACATACATACAAATTATTTTAAATATTTGCATTATTAGAAAACAAATATGTATGATTAAAATTAATTTGGGATATGCGATCTCCAGAAAATCGTCTCGCAACTGAATGAAACTACAGTTTTAAAGGCGCGAAATCAGAGTAGGTGCAACAGAGACACGTCAGATTACTTTCGGTTCCCCCCCCCTCCATGAGGCTCGCTTCGGCGAGGAGTCAAACAAAGGAATGACCTAGCCCTTCTATTTATCCCTGGGTAATTATAATAACATTTTCTAAGATGATCTGCATCTAATGGGACTGATACTGTCAAATATGTATTACGGTGGCCGCCAAATTGTATGTTAAACTTAAGTAGTCTATATACTACATAAATTAAAGAGTACATTATAAGGTATTTCTCCCACCTTCTTGGCGTGTCTTCATGGTGTAGTGGTCCTGCACGCTGGGCCGGTATTCCAGAGGTCCGTGATTCGATTCCCGGCGAAGGTGATTGCTCATTTTTCATCTCTCCTGCTTTCGAAATAACCTAATGTTTCTACAACATTTCCATTTTTATATAGTACCTAGACTAAATTTGTGAATCAAAGTAATGCATGCTTGCATCGTTGTGAACACAATAAAGCCCACCAGGGTTATTTATTCACCATGATGTAATTTATCGTGCAGGCTTGCTTCCGATTATGAATAGTATTTTAAGTTATTTTATCACATTTTTATGCTGTTTATGCTTTTTCTTTTCCAGTCTTAGTAGAAACATATAATTAATCCATGTTGAAATGGTGACAAAGCAATTCCTTTTTGTCTTTGACACTATTGCAACTGGTATTATAGATTTCAATGTTGACCGTTCAGTATATTTCTGCATACTTTTTTAAACAGAAACTTCTTAAATATTAAGTTATTAACACTATAAAAATGTCTGCAATTCAAAAAAATATATGTTTTTTAAGTCTGAAAACACGATTAATAAAGTTTTCGATCTACCTTAAAGAAGAGGATTGGTGGAATTTTGTGACTGAATTTCTAAAATTACCAAGCAAAATTTACAACGTTAAGTTTTACTTAATTTATTCTCTTTGTGTAAGTGGTTAGTAGTACTTGCTGTTATCAAACGGAAGATCCGTGGTTTATGGACAACTCGTCACTGCCTGTATTTGATCGAGTGGGATTCGTACCTCTCTCCAGTAACTCTTGAAACGAAGAAGACTTAAAGAATTCCCCTGCAGACTATCATATTATGTTAAGTGCAGCTGATAAATGGAAGATGAACTGGCCGACTGCTGTCGAGGGCGCTATTTATTTTTTATGTATCTCGCTCTGAATATTCTTTTAGTTTATACAAAAGGGGTTCTCAACCAGGGTATAATTCCCCTTGGGGGGGGCAGGAATTTCAGAGGGTAATGTGGTAAGCCTTTTATTTACCTGTTAAGTATTTAAGTTTAGAGATTATGAATATAAAAATATATTTTTATTCAACTTCTGGTATTTATGAACGATTTCTAAACTTTTTCTTGTTTAATCTATGAAACATATTACAAAATAGTCTAAATTTAAATAAATATATATGCATTTTTCGCGTATTGGAAAGGAGGAGGTGGGAATGATCGTCTAGCAGTGGTGAAAGGGGTGCATGCGGTAAAAAAAAGATTGTGAACTCCTTTCCTACAAATAGTTCATCATTTTGTTAATATGAGAGTATTAATGAATCGATATATCATAATCTATTTCTTTAGAAACTTTAGCTGATTTTATTTGGCATCGAAGATCACTGTCTCTGTTTGTCGGCCCCTCTAATACGATCCCCTCTACAAAAGACCAAAATTGTCAAATCTATGGTCGTCTTGGTGAAAAATTTATGTCTAATTAAAAATAATATAAAGATATAAATTATTATTAAGTATTCATGCTACTTTTAAACGTTCAGTTTGTTACAGAATTATTAATGCAATAAATACGGATAAGAACTAAAAACTGACATTTGTTTAGAGTGGAGATGATTGGACGGATGTTATGATTCCCGTTGCGGAAGATGGTTTTCAACAAAGTCTGTTATACACTCAGTCGTACAACGTGACGGGACTGGAGCCAGGATCTCGCTACGAGGCTGTACTTCAAGCACATAATGATTTTGGATGGAACAGACCATCTGACACTTTATACTTCGACGTAGGTGAGTTTTCATTCTTCTTGCATTACATTTGTGATAACATTCTTCTTTTGCTTTATACAATATTTTGTGTTGTAAACTTTCTTTCTATCGTTTTGAAACAAAAATAGTTAATTTCTTCTATGTATAAAATCACCACCTTATGCATATTTATATTAATAACATATTTATATTAATAACATGCATATGGGTTTGCTTGTTGTAATTGAAAATTAAAATTTAACGATTTGACACATGAAAGCACTAAGCTCAGGAAATGACAGTTTTTCAGCTTTGATTTAATTTCTCAAGCACATTTCATTAATTTTAGAAGTTTTGTGCAATATTCTGTTCTTAAAATTATAGGTTTATAAAATGGAAGATAAACGGTATATTCCTTATGCATATCGTGAATATGAAACGAGATATAAAAGCCAGTAACCTAGCATTCATATCAAGGTAGTTCTTGTCAGCGGAAATCATTAAGGTAATTACTTAAAGATTTTCCAATCACTAAGTTTAATACTCAAAAGATAGACCACTTTCTATAACGAAGGACTCATCTCATATTCCTTCGTAAGAACACAGAAGATGGATTAAAGCCTCAGAATAAGAATCATATATTTCTTACTATTAAAGCAAAAACAAGAACATTTACCCTTATGATAGTAACACTATACTATGCAAAATTTTCAGTAATGTGGTAATAATTAAGGCGCTTAATAATAATAGTTAATAATACCGAAATATTATCTTTTAATAAAATAGAAAAATTGCTCAATATTAAATTTTGCTAATCATATTTGAAAACAAAATGTATAGATTTTAAAATTTGTTCTGTAATGACTGAAATGTAGAACTATAGCAAAGCATACATTTAATACAGGATACTGTGTACACGAACCAGTTTGACTTAAAACGTTCTCCACGAAGGCATCCCTTCATGTAGGCACCCAAGTAGCACGACAACGTCGTAACGACGTTCCAAACTCGTCGCAGATGTCGTTGCAAAATGTCGTCTTTAAGACGCCCAGATGTCTGCGAAACTCCACTGTTTTGCAACCGTTGCTAAGACGTTTTTATTACGTCTTTGCAGATGAGATTTTTGTCGCACAGACGTCATTATGCGTTTTTCGCGGGTGTTAATTTGGTTGTGAAACCAACATATCACGACGTCTTAAAGACGCCTAAATGTTCGCAAAATTCCACCTTTTGTAACAGTTGTGAAAATGTCGTTATTATGTCCTTGTGTTATCACTACACACAGTATATTTTTCTTCTTTTTTAAAATTTTGTATTCCTTGTAATTATTTAAAGTTTAAATATTTTATCATTTTCTGAAAACCAGAAGATAATACAGTTTTTCTCTTTAGACTAAAAATGCATAATTAATAGCCTTAATTATCAGTACTTTACACTATATTTTTTAAGTAACTTAAATTCTAAGTTACGATTATTTAAGATTTCATCATTTTTTCCCCTTAAGTGAGAGTAATTATGAAAGTGGTTATTATAAATATATAACATCAATAGTAGGTTTTAAATAAATAAAACTCAATTAGACATAAATAAAAGTAAAGATATATATGTGGGTAAAGAAAGAGCGTTTCTGATAACAGCATTATCCCATTTATTTCTGTTAATCTCAGAGACATTGAAAATTTCCCCTGTTATGATAAGTAAGGAAGCGCTTCTTAAGGTAACATAATCCGTATTTTACCTGAACTCAAGCATAAATTTATTCGCGTTTCACAGTAAAAAATATAATCATTAACTTCTATATCTCCAAGATATGCAAATGAAGGACAGTATAAAGTAGTTAATAAATGTGATCGTAAATATACCTAATCTAATAACTTCCCATATTCATATCTAAAATGAAATAATAATCTAACAAACAACATACATGACAGCATTATTTAAGAAAAAACATGAGCTAGTAGTGTTTGAAAGTATAAATAGCAGAAGGAAGGTAACAAAACTAAAATTTCCAATTTATAAAAAAAATATTTGTGTTTCTTAAATAGTTAGCAATTAAAAGTGCAATAATTATGGATTGCAGTATTTATTAGTAATGCTGATGTTTCTTAACACCATTTCTTTCGATCATATTTTAATGTATTTACTTATTTTTAGTTTCTAAATTTTAGGATAGTGGTAGATTACAATGATTATTTCATGCACTTTTTATAACCAATGACTTTCCTTTTGGTACTGTACAGAAATAATTTAAATAATATAGTATACGATAGTAAGCTAAGTACGTTAAAGTAAGCTCTTCGTTAAATAGCACACGATGAAACGTTTTGTTTCTATTTATTATGAATTTTTTTGCTATCACAAGTACATAACAAGTAAGCGAAGAAAATAGAATATACCTAAATTTAATAAAAAATAAAACATAATTTCCAACATTCATTTATTGAGATAATCCAATAAACATACATAACGGCAATATTTAAAAAAACGCGAATTGCACAGTGTTTGGAAGAATAGATACCAAACGAAAAGTAATAAAACTGCAAGTTGCAATCAATAAAAAATCTTTAGTGTATTCTAATATTACACAATTAAATATCACATTATAGATTACAATATTTCATAGAAATGCTAATGTTTCCTTAATACTAGTTTTTCGATCATACACTGTTTAAAATCATTAACCTTTTCTGCATACTGTAGAAAAGACAATATACTATAGAATGTGCATTATTATTAATTTTAAAAATTAATTAATTGCTTATTTTATACATACATCTAGTTCATCTACAGCAGTCACATTAAGTACTGGTACCAGTCCAATAATTTCTTTGTATTTTGAAAATAATGAACATACCATAACTGCTTGAATTGTTGTTGCTTCTGTATTTATTTCATTTTCAGGAAAACCAGAAAGGGGTTTACAGTTGTATGTTATTTTTGGTTTTATATGAATTAATTCTGAGAGCGAACTTTTCAATTTGAACACAATAATAAATTAATATGAATGATATGCGATATAGCATTTAGAACGTTATAACCGAAGCACAAAGCTAATAAGGATATCCAAATATTGCACTGCTGGAACCACAGTGATTGGAGACAGACACTATCTCCACAGAGACACTATTTCACGAACCACATAAATACTATTTCACGAACACTATATTCCACAGACCACTATAGACCATCGAGAACCTATTTCACGAACACTAGATTCACAGTTAGCATTGTAGCATTTCTTGTAGAGCAGATATTCACACACAAAATAAGCACAAATTCAGCATTCTCACGGTGATTTCTTCTCAATTCAGAGGCTTCCAAACAGGAGCTCACAGCAATGAAATTTCACTCGCTGAAGGCAGTTGAAGTAAGTAGATACAGAACAATGAGAAGATTCACAATGCGTTCTTTGATTGACAGTGCATTACATTTACTTTTAATATAAGCAATATTATTTATATCAGTCATTGCTTGATTCAATTTAAAACATGAATTCAGTCTTTTCAAATGCCTTACAGATGGCATCTTTACCAAATTACTTGAAAGAACTGCTAGAATCTGAATTAATTGCGCAGTTCCTTGTTCGAATTTGGCAGCTAGCCAAAACGCCCAGATCTCGAGATGTTCGTTTATATAAGCATCCAGTAAATAATGTACAGGTCTGCTCCTGACTGTCGATGAGTTTTCCGACATATATATTGGACAGCCGTGAATTCGTCCTTACTTTAAAAATAAGAAATAAAGTCATATTTCAGTAGTGAAATAATTGCTAACATGTGATTGCACTGATTTCGGAAGTATGATTTTTTTAAAGTACATAAAATGCATAACTTAATAACTTACTTTATAGATTAGTTTCATTTTTAAATATTTCGCTATAATATTTATAAAAAATATTTTAAGTATTAATTATTTTAACAAAATTTTAAAGAATTATCTAGCACGTATTTTTAGTACTAATTAAATTTAATAAATCAAAAGTATTTATATTAAATTTATATTTCATTAGATGAATCTACCTTAGATTAATATATTTAGATGAAATAAAGTAATGAAACATTGCAAAGCAAATCTTATGCGGACTTCAGATTCTTGAAATGGCAGATTTAGTCTCATTTCATTCTAAAAGTAATGCTGATGAACTAAAAAAAAGCTGTCATCTCATGACGTTTCAGAGACGTCGAAAAATTGCCAAGATGCAAAGGCAAATATTTTGCGTCTTCGCAACGTTGTAAAGACGTCGTAAAAGTTACCACGACCACTTTGCAACCCTCTCGGACCAGTTTACAACGTCGTGTGCTACTTGAGCAGATAGCCTTAGTGCGTTTTGCCACAATTAATTAAGCCGAAACCAAACCAATAAAGGAGTCTTGAAATAATATTTTAACGTATTTATCCTGCATCTGTATTAGCTACTTTAATCCGCATGCTAAAGTAGTTTCTCTGTGGATGTAAGTTTAATCGCATAGCATGTGCGATTTTCATAAGCGACAGACGAAAAGTAATTAATAAAGCATTTTTAATAGTTTTTTGAGTAAATAATAAAATATTTTAATGCATAAAATAAACCACTTAAGCTACTTAAACAAATAGGCATAAGTTGCTACAGTTATCTAGACAGAAGCTTGAAAACATTACTTAATTTAAAACAGGGCCCAGAAATTTTTGCATATCAGCGCCCGGCCATTAAAAAAAAGCTTACACATATGAAGCTAACACTGATTACTTTGTAATATTCTAGTTCAACTAGAGTTCCTTGTAAGCTAGAATACTGAAGAACTGTGTAGCGACTCTTCGCTGAGTTACTGTAAGTAACAAGGCCAAAGAAGGGTTAAATTACATTTTATTCCAACTCAAAATAAATTAACACATGGCCCTCCTCGGGCGTACGATAAGCCTTTACTTGAGCTTTAACTCAAAATAGAAAAACTATAAAATTAATCTAATGCTAAATAAAAAAAATCCAGACGAAGCTGCGCAGGATCAACTAACAGAGTTGGCCCTTATTTAAAGATCACCGGTGTGTACTAGCAGGCACGTAGACAAGTACGGCTGTAGAATAGTAAGATTAGACTAATCGCAACCACATGGCCGAAATACAGAACACACACACTGTATTATTGAAGTGATACAGTCTTCAGCTTAAATACTCGTTTCTACCTCATTTGCATGAATCGTAATCCTGAAAACTCACTCTGGCAGGGAAACGGAGGTGTGAAATTAGAATGAATAGGATAGGGTTGTTCCAAAATAAAAATAACTATTAGAAAATTAAACTAAAACCTTACAAACTCGTAGGTTATCTTTTGCACCATATATTTTCGACAATGTCAAAACTGGATATTGGGGCATTCACTTAACACAGGCACTGTGAATTTCTCTGTAAACACTGACACCTGCTTCATATATTTTTCTTAAGGGATTTCAATTAATCTTTCATGCATAGACTAGGTTTTCATACACCTTGTCTGTCGAAGAATCTCGATAGGATTAAGATCAGATGAATTTGGGATCCAGTTTAGAATATGTATTCTAGTTTGTTGAAAGTAAGTGATAGCAGGGGTTTTGATTTTCGGCTTTACAGATCTTGCTGCCGGCAGGGACTCACCCTGTGGACGAAGTCGAGCTATTGAAGGCAGAGAATGGTATTGCAAATTACCTGGTAAAACTGATTTGATGATCCCGAAATCACGAAAGAAAATGGCCAACACCTGAAACATTCAAACACACCCACACTTGTACAAAAGCTGAAAAGTGAATTTCATGTTTTACTGAGTTTGGGGCTGATTCTTCATTAGTTCTGAGGATGAGAATACGGCTAATATTTACATGAAGGATTAAGAAAGCATATTTTTCAGATACAAACGTGTTTGCCATTCGAATTCTCTTCAAAAAAGTCATCCTTGATTAATGGAAAATACTTTCTTCTCAAGTGGTGTTGATATAGGGTTGAATACTCTCGCGAAAAGTAGTCGTTATAATTAACTCGTCTACCCCGTCGAGAGAGAGGTGCTGTATAAGTTTTTTCCATATTCCGGTCAGATAGATATCACATGATAAGAGGTCGCAAATTTGATTTTCTTTAGAAGTAGCCGTTTTAGCCTATCACTGTTGCATTCATGTTCGAGGAAATTATTTTTCATTCAGTATTTGAAAGATGTTCTGGTAATAAATTGACCAAATTTATATTAAGCAATCGCAGAAGCGTAGCTAGGGTTTTCAGTGCCCGGGGACAACTGAAGATTTTGCGCCCCTTTCTGTGTACCACGAATGTAAAACATTTAATTCTAAAATTTCATAAGATCAATTCGGCGCCCCCTGGATGCTGCGCCCGGGGACAGCTGTCCCTCCTTGCCCCACCCTAGCTACGCCACTGAGCAATCGTTAATTCTGTATTCCATTTAATTTTCACCGGCGCTTTTCATTCTTTCTTCAAGGTTTCATGTAAATGCAGTCCCAGTTTTAGTCTTTTCACTACTCGAACTGGTAATAACGCAAATCAATCATTTTTTACACTCACAATTTTTGCATATTTCTGACTATGTAAGGAAAACTAACAAAAATGAGCATATAACACACGAATAAAAGATGTCGGGGATTAGTTGCTCCGAGTGAAATAGCTTGTAAAAATATAATAAAAATTTTTAGAAAATTACTGAATAAGAAATTCTTTTTCTTTTGGATGTATGTATGTATGCATATGTATTAGGATAATAAACAATTTATACTTCTCTTTTTACTCGTGACATTTGCGTTAAATATAATGAAATTATAATCTTATTTAGCATAATTTTAAGTACAAAATTATGGAAACTGAGTTTCAAGATCTAGATATGAAGTAAAATAAACTTGCAGTTACAAAGTGAACAGTGTTAAAGCGTTCATATTTTGATAAAAAATAAAAAGTCTGTTAGAAATCTGCAATTCTTTTAATCATATATTAGAATCCTTAAACTGGTTACTAATAATAATATTTATCATTATGCATATGGCAATGCATATTTGGTTACTGAAGATATCTTCATTACTTGTTTTTTTTTTTTTTTTTTTTTTTTTTTCTTTTTAGTCCAATGGAATGTTAGCCCAGAAGAGCTAGTAGTCTCGAAACGGTATTTTGCGTCGGTTCACTTTAAACGGCGTATCACTTTTTTAAATTGTTGCAACCAAATATGATCACTCTGTCTTATATTTAAAGAAATTAAATAATGAAGTATCTATAGGAATGTGTAGATGTTTTTCGCACTGTGAAAAAACGTTACCTAGAGCCATCAAATTCTGAATAACGTAATCCTCCTCCCGAAAATGGGCATCCTGAAGCCCGAATTTAAAATTTCGAATTTGTTTTATTTTGTAAAACTTTAACGAATTTTTGATTAAAAACTCGCTTTGTTACCGGAAATTAACAAAGCGAACAATGGCAACACTATAGGGAATAAAATATTTTTATCTCCAGCGCGCGAGAGTGTTTATCGGAAAAACAGATATGCTGTTTTTAAATATTTTGCAATATTACTGTTGAATTGAATTTGATGTGGTTTAAGTGATTAAGTTTATCATGTGAAGAACATGATATTTAATAAATGAAGTAACACACAAAACGTTAAAAACACACTTCGATACTGTTCTGTTATTAGGATCGGATTCATAAATGTATGTATGCATCTTTGCATGGATGTATATGTTCATGTATGCATGTATATGTTATTGTAAAAGCCGGAAGTCTGGTAAATCCTAGCTTTTACCAAAGTGGCTTGGTAAAAGTCCGAAGTATGCTTTAATAAGATTCCATTTCGGGCTTTTACCAAGCTTTAGAGGTAAATCCTAGGAGTTACCAACGCCTTCTGGTAAAAGCCCGAAACGAGGGATTACTTATGAAAGGATTTTCTATTCGCAGGTACACTGTATACAATGTGTCTCCAAAAGGTTAAAACACACTTTAATTTTTTAATTGATAATATAACTTGTATGTGATCAAAATAAGGTATGATTTAAGATTATGCCGATGGAACTGTCTTACAATTATTTTTCAGAGTTACAATTGTTTTGTTTCTCTACTGTCATTTCATTTCGTAGCTTTTTCCACTTTTGATTTCTTTACAAATAAATTCCATTAATTCACTAACGTTCCACGTTTGGTTCACTGTTGCTACTGCAACTGTATTCTAATGTAAACTCTGATGGAATTAATTTTAACAAATTGGGCAAAGTAAACTACGTTACGTTTCTGACACCACGTTCATTGACTTTAAGCATCTAATTTGAGATGCTTAAAGGATGCACACTGATCGTATAGGTTCCTGGAATTTTCTATACCCTTATATTTCTAACAGGGAAAAGATTTAATAGTTTGCTCATGTAAGCATTTATTGCCAAGTCTTTTCTCCCAAACCTGTTATTTAACAATTCTATAGCTGAATCGTAATTCTTACTTGTAAACGAAAGTCCGGAAAAGGCATTAAAGGCTACCCCAAATCTACAAACGACTTTAAGTAACTGAATTCATTTACTTTCGGCAAAGAGTCATTGTTATGGATAGCTGCTTCATATTGACTCCAAAATCCCTGCCAGTTGAATCACCAAAAAATAGAGATAGTTAATTTTGAAAGACGAGTAACTTTATTACCGTGTCATTAGGAATGTTTATACTTTCCTTGTCCGAATTTTCGAGTTTATCCAATTTTTTTTTTTTTTTTTCGCTCTAAATTGCCACAATTGGGTTTTCTCTTCGTATTCCAGAGCGGATGTAACTTCAAATTCATCCGCCTCTGAAATCACGTTCTATTTGAGTGTCTAAATCACTCAGAGTTTTTGACGTTTCGATTAACTACGCTAAAATTCCTTCTAGTACATTTATACTAATGTCATCTTTACTTAATTCTGTCTCAGTTTTATGTAGTATCTTTTCGTTTCTATTTCAATTTAGAAATAGGATCTTCCATGATTGCTGTACTTTAAAAATAGAAAACTTAACCTTACCTTGGCTGTCTTCGCACACTTGCTATGTGCTAATCCGAAAATCGGAGACATTAATTTTCCAATATTACCCCCGATGCACCAAATGTACGCTAGAACAAATAGACAAATGGTGCTGCATATCTTCGAAGTTCTACAATAATTCTATTTGAGACAAGCAGCATCTAAAATTCTACAAGTATTGGTTTAGTAATAATTTTGTATTCAAAATACCCAATCCAGTTTTTTTTTTTTTTTTTTTTAAAGGAATTTAATTGAATAGCACACATTTTATAATCTAATCTAAGATCTCATCGGCAGCATTCAGATTGCAACAAATCGAAATTCAAGTTTTCAAGTTCACGCTGTTGCCTTTCCAAGGCAGAGAAAAGTTTGTATTCAAACCAGAACAGGCGTAATATAAAATCTGAAAGCTTTCAAATTGTTTCTTCTTAAGCATGTTTTTGTTGCATTTTTAACTTAAGAACATCCGTATTGATTTACCTGTTTTGGTTCTACAATGTTGTTAATGATTTGCTTATTAAAAATACTCTAATTCGAATATTATGATATAAAATACATGTTTTAAAATAATTTCGTTTCTATTTAGGAGAGAAGTTGACTTCCCCATCTTTGGAACAAGATGACCCCAAAACGCAGCCCTCTTTATTGCCCCTTTACGATATCGAACTGGATGTCACAGGTGCAGTTTCACCTTTTCTTCATCTATACATTGCTATTTATGAAAATAGTAATGCATGAAAAACTAGGTATTCGGTTTAATATAAACTGCACGCCTACTGAAGTCCAGAAATTTTTTTACTTGATTACAAATTATTCATAAATAGTTCATAACCGAGTTTGCAAATAGGAACTAATATTACGCAGCATAGTCCATATTATTACAATGAAAGACACATGGAATATGAAATTTCAACACGTGGTTCCACATGTGGTGTTCGCATGAGCGCCAGTTCCGAGCACCTTTCTCGCGCAAACCATCTCACAGCCATCCGATTGATCTTTAGGGCTCGATAAGACGCTCGTTAAAACTTAACATTCTTAGAGAGAACGAATTAAACATTCATTCATACACCAATCAATAACTTTCGCTCTAAATCATAAAAAAGGGAGTACTTATCTTGCCAAACATATTTCTTTGTCGAAGTGACAGGACAACGATTAATTGGAACCAGCCAGCAAATGAAAAATCAAAGGTCAATTAACGGCAATTAAAATTCTAGTAATTCAAAATATGTGATATTATTATGCCATAAAGTTGGGGTCGATTCTGGATTACCAGAAAATCAGTAGCAGGCTGGGTAATTGGCGCGAAATTGAAAGTACTACTGACACCCTTTTCTTCACTAGAAACAAATGTGGCACACTTTCTTTCCAAGTTTAGGAAGAAACTTATTAACAATATTTTATCTAGGTGTTTTTAAAGTACACTATTTTTGTAAATATTGCAGATATATGTTTGACAGAATGAAAAAACAGAAGATATTGCATATGTTAATCACATCCAAGGTCTTTAATTTTGTACCTTGTTAATTTTTATTGAATATTTGGCTTATATTGTTTATATTACTTTCAGATCCAACATATTCTAAACAAGGAGCCCAAAGAGAAGCCTGCTTTTATTCGATAATATTGTTATCTATGCTCACTGTCATGTTATTCTTCCCTTGACGTCAATCTTAAAAATGTCATTCATGTTAGAGAAGGCAAGACATTAGCAAAATACTCTGCAAGATGTTTCCGACAACAAGACCCGGAAACAGGACTCCTGTCATATGTGTCTTCAGAGAAGATTGAAGGTAGTGCATGTAACAGCAGCATTCAGTTGATAATACATCACCGAGGTGATTGACTGATAAACCTAACTTACCTAAACTGCCAGATATTATGAATGTTCCATTATGAACGTTTCGGATGTCTCTGCATCATATCATTTTGTTGCCAGTTGTGTGACGATTGGAAGCCAAAAATCCAATGTAAATTAATCATAGTAAGACTCTTCAGAATATTGGTTCAGTTTTATGAATAACATAAATGTATAAGCTTTTGAAGAAATATACTTGTGAAACACAGCTTCCATCTTGTAAATGATTCAATGAAATTATTTTTAAATCAGAAAAACACAGAAATTCCTGAAATATAATCATTATGAATATGTGAAACTTGCATGACAGCTGATTCAAGTCCTTTGCGTAAACACTGAAATTTATCTAAAAAGGTGTGTGCATAATATTATGTAAAATATTAACAGTTTTATTTATTATGTATCCATTGGCCATATTATTTGTACTGATTTATAAGTATCAAAGGTCTATAAAGCTGTAGCAACGATTATTTCAAGATACTGATACTGTGATGTTTATCTAAAACTTCATATTAAAATATAAGGCATTTTGCAGTGCTTAATGCAGAAAATATGCAATTCCAATATTTTTTAGTAAAATTATGAAACAAAAAACAGCGAAATCTTAACATTTTATCCGAACAGTTGTATTAGTTAATACATCAAATTTCTAAAATATAACCAAGTAATTATCTTGAATTTAGTTATATTTCATTTCCAAGATACATCAAACTTTATATAGGATCAGATATATCCTAAAATATTTATTTATATTATATAATTAAAACAAGCTGTTATTTACGAAATATTGTTAACTTAAATAACATACTATTGATTATTAATTCCTTATTTTTAAATGAATATCTGAATTCAAAAATAGTGCAAGATTTGAGAGAGATTTATTTACTTAAATACTGAATTCTACTTTCGAAACTATATCATCTTTTGATTTAGTGGTGAAAAAGTTATAGCCATTAAAATGCTTTTTCCTCCTTTCGTTCTTGAATTTTTATTTTTCTCATAAGAAGTTTCTTCTGCTTTTGTATATTGGCTACTTTCGTATTCAGATATGCATAATAAAAAGAATCTTGCCAGCAGAAATATTCGTATTTGATTACATTTTTTTTTTCATTTCTCTATATAAAAGTATATCCTCGCTGAATAATTACTAAATTAGCTAATTTTTTAATCAACTGATTTTTCCCTTTAATTTTTCTCATGTAAAAATTTATTTTTTTTGCATATTTGCAGGCTGGGAAGCATGTATTCAGCAACAAATATATAAGGTAATTCAGAAACAATCATTAGAAATTTTTACAGGTTTAAAAATTAATAAAATAGAATAATAAATATTATATGAATGTAAATGGGGAAATGCATAAGTTTTATATTAAACCGGATTTTACTTCAGAAGCAAAATATTTTCACTCTTGTGGAAGAGAGATCTGATCCTCCCCGAAATCTCTCTTAGAGTTTAATTAAAATCCATTGGGTGGTCCCATAAGTAATGAGATCTTTTTTATATTTCCTTTTATTTTCAAAATTAAGAATAAAGTTTTTTTTTTAAATCTAAAATACACTCTCTTTCACCCTCTGTTAGTTTCTCAAAAGTTAAGATGGGATTCTGTTTCAATAGGATTTGTAGGACTTTCTCATCATCTACATTTCTATAGATCTACTAGAACAAGGCTCACTTGCAGTCTGAAGATTCCAACTCGGAATTTCCAGAACCACCACTGACTCTGATTTATGCTTATTACCTGATCCTCATGTATTACATTAATATTCTCATTAATAGTTAGTTACTTTAACTTATAAAGCAAAATATGCTCTTTTATCACTTCCATTATAGCTTTGAAAAGCAACTCTTAAAATCGAACTGCACTCTTCAAAATTTGCAATACGAATAAAGTAAAACTACCACCTGCTTTTATAGCATCTTAACACATGTATATTATCCCCCCTGACTTTTCATATAATTGAAGAACTCACATTGTTTATGGGATGACCCAATACATGAAACTTATTTTGAATTTTACATTAGTTTCTCTTCCAATTTGATGATAAATTATATTAAAAATGCTTTTGTCAAATTCTTTCTAATCATTTTTAATAAGTGAAAGTCAAGTTTCCCACATTTTTGTCAATATCCTACTTTTAATGATCAGTATACATTGTAATTAATCTAATAATGAAGATTAAAATTAATTAGAAATTAGCAAAAGAATCGGCATAACATTCTTGTTGCCCCCTCTTTAATGGCTGTTCTCTTTGTGATATAATTCATCTGTTCAATTAACTTTTTTTGCAATTAATTTAATAATTTAAAGTTATAACACACAGAAGACACCTCTTCATTTCCAGACATAATTTTAGATTCAATTAAAGAAGAATTAGTATCAAAATTTCTTTGTCTGAGAGAGACAGATACCTTAAGTATAGTTCAAAACAAACTGGCTAGATTTATGTTTCTGTCATTTTCTTAGAAATCGATACAATTTTTTGCTGCTGCAAAACATAAGAATTTTACTATTTCAAGTTCATGAAATAATAATGATGTATTTTAAAAAAAAACAAAACTTCTAAATTCCAAGCATCAGAAGAAGTTTAGTTGTAAACTTCACTTGTTGAAATGAATGCAATTAAGTACAGAAATATAATTTTTAAAATTTCCCCCCAAATCTTTAATAAAACATACTTATTGGTACCTTATTGGTACATGCTTACTAGTCCCAATTTTACAGTTAAATAAATCCTTACACAATTATGAAATTAACATAGTAATTTTAGTGACAGAAAAATGAATGATGATTCTACGTTCTGTTGGAAAAAATGCTGTTTGGGTAAATTTTACATTTTCTGTTTTTTCAGTACTATTATTGGCACAGATGCCTCCACAAGAAAATTTCTGCATTCAACTCGAGACAAATATTAGTTACCTTAATCTAAAAATGATACTCTAAGGTGTTATATATAGCTTTCTGTCAATGCACGTGGCTCTTGATAGACTATCACAAGTATAACAAATAATAATTATTGCACCTAATTGAAAGGATTAAGTCAGAGTTTCTTATGAGTCAAAATATGAGAAAAAATCTGATGTGTACACCACATGATTTCCTTGTATGTAATATTAAATTATACGCATTTTTTCTTGCATTTCATTTAAACTTATTGGGTTGAATTAAATCTACTTCGCCGACAGCGCATAAACCACAATAGAATAAATGCAGTCTTTAAAATTCACTCTAGTATTTGTTTACCATAGCGACACTCTGGTGCTAGATTTACTTAACAGTATTAATAATTATATAACAGTTAACTTATATAATAATTATATAACGGAAACTAAGTTAACTGTTATACACTGACTACCAATAAGTATTTGGACACCTATGCGAATGACGATATCTGCGGTCCTAAGGTACGTCACGGACTCCGCTGGTATATATCGTATAGGAAAAAGCAAAAAAGCATCGGCTTCAGTCGCATGAAAGATGCCTCACAGTTCGGAGCTCTTGATTTCGAGAAAGGTATAATTATCGGGTATCACAAATGTGGCCGATCCTTAAGGGACATATCTAGCGGTATGAAGTATCCAAAATCAACAGTGGCCTATGTGACGAATGCTGTCCAGAGAAATTCGGAAGAACCACACCCAACCGATGGCCCTCATCCGCGAGGAGTTTCAACAGGCATCCGGGAGTATTGTTTCAATGAATGCCATCCATAAGGAAGCACATCTGCTTGGTTTTCATGGTCGTGCTGCTGCCCATAAGCCTTTGATCACAAAGTCCAACCGCGCTGCTCGGTTAATGTGGTGCAAAGCACATCGAAATTGGACCGTAGATCAGTGGAAACAGGTTCTTTGGAGTGACGAATCAAGGTTCACCCTTTACCATTTGGATGGCAGGGTCTGGGTCTGGCGTCTACCTGGAGAACGTCTCCTGCCAGAATGCATTGTGACAACAGTCAAGTTCGGCGGAGGTGGAATTATGGTCTGGGGTGTGTTTCTCCTGGTATGGGCTGGGACCCTTGGTCCCCCATTCATGGTAAGCTCAACTCCGATGCCTACTGCACTATTTTGGATGACAATGTGCTTCCTACGTTGTGGCAGTTTTACGGTTTGGACCCCTATTACTTTCAGGACGACAATGCCAGTTGTCATGTTTCGACGTTAACCAAGGCTTGGTATGGTGCCAATGGAGTCCATTGAATGGACTGGCCTGCCCAGAGTCCAGACCTGAACCCTATCGAGAACCTCTGGGACGAGTTGCATCGCCGAATTCAGGGGTGCACTACCCGTGCAAAATCGGTGAAGGAACTTCTATGTCTTCTTCAAGCCGAGTGGAAGAAAATACCACTAGCTGTCATACAAAGACTTGTGGAAAGTATGCCCCGGAGGGTCCACCATGTAATTACCTCTCGTGGAGGCTCTACCAACTATTGATTTTGAATAAAGTTAGTTTTTCTTTTCTATCACAGGTGTCCAAATACTTATTGGTAGTCAGTGTATAATCCAATAATTATACAACAGTTAACTTATATATTTCGTTCATATTATAACTCATAATGCACAAAATTTATATCATTTAAAGAATAGAATTATCTAATCGTTGCCACATGTTCTATTCAAATACTATAATAAAGCTAGAATAATGATGTATAAAAGAAATTAAGCAAACAAACAAAAAAGAAACAGTTTTCACAGACGATTGAGTATTTCTCATTTAATTAATTCGTTCTCACTTTGCAAGAAGGCAAAATACATAAAAACTCAAAAATACTATATTAAAATTACGAAGTAAATCTTAAACACTATTTCCTCGAAAAAATTCCAGAAGAATTAAGCATGATTTAATTGGCAATAATAAATGAATGTGTTATCTTTGTTGTTGCGAAGCTAAGTTTCTCTAGATTGGCAACAAATCCACTAGTCTCCTGTTTCAAATGTAAACAACAATGGCCGCCATAAAAAAAAGGCTTAGCGGCACTTAGACTTTTCGCGATTACAATACTTCCTTTTTACTTTGTACAAGGAAGTAAAAAAGGTGTCTTAAATGAGGTGGTGGAAGGAATGAAAAATAATGTAACAATGGAAAAATTCAGTGTTTGAAATTCTCAGTTCAACTGGCATAAATCTGTTATAAATACCTGATTGACTTTATTAATATTTGTCTAGATATGCATAGTTAAATAACCTTCATAAAAAAATCTATTTCACAATAGTTTCTCTTTTTAAAGTTTGCATGAAAACTTAATATTTCAAGACATGATGCATAAGGTAAAAATGCTATAAGCTGACAATAATTAGCTGCTAGTGAACAAAAGAGGACATTCCATATCTAACCACCTGTGGATATTCTACACTAGATTCATTCTGATATAAGTCCCTATGAGGTTGTTCTTTTTGTCTTTCTGTGGCACTTTTTTATAATAAAAGCACACTTTTATGAGCACTTACATATTTAAGAATTACTTAAAATTATTTTACAAATCTGTTTATCTTTTTATTTAAAGGTAAAACGATTTTTAGAATCCCCCCCCGCCCCGCAAAAGTTAATAATTAAAACTACTTTTTTGTTAATTATCAATTCAGATTATTTTAATGATGTAAAAAAAACTAAATACCTGCTTACTACATTATTACTCAGTAATTAACAATTTCAGACTAAAATTGAAGTTTAAATGCCTGTATATTCATCTTTTTAGGTAAAATATACCCAGCTTTGGAATACTTTTTTGACATACAAATCCTTTAGCCTATTTAAAAAAAGGTGCTTTTGTCATTCCCACTCTAGATGAGCGGGGACGAAATGACTTAAAAAAAAAGGTTGACTTATAATTTGAAATAAATGGATTGGTTAATTTAAAATTGCTATTGTTGATTAAGGACTTTCAGAAAAAGCAGATGTTAATATAGATGTAACACATACATTTCATAAATTCAGGTCTACCTTTTTGACTATTTAAAATGAAAAAGTTAAGTACTTGTTACTTTACCTTTTCAAAAAACAACTAAAATTAAATTTAAAACATAATTTAAAAAAATACTTCCTTTACTTTTTATCATCAAAATATTATTTAATTATCATATTTTTAAGTTAAAAAAGACTTTTTTCTTTTAAATATCGGTTTGAAGTATAGTTTTCATAATTATGTAATTAAATGCCTTTTTCCTGATAGAATTGATGCATAAATAGCTTCTTTCTTATGTAAAAATTTAAAAAGTAAAATATTTTTATCAAGATTTTGAATTCGGTATTAATATACTGTACATAGTTTAAAGGAAGCTATTTATGATATCCAATGATTTTTATGGAAATTAACAAAATTTTCTTCTCAGTTACTGACATGAAAGAAAGTTATTAGTTTTTAACATGTAATGAAATATAATGAGTGAGAACAATTTTGAAGAATAATATTTCTTTTAAATATCAGTTCCAGGTATCTTTTTAACTAACAAATAAATTTATTGTTAGTAATAGATTCATAATGATTCAGTAGATGGGGAACATGACATTAGTATGTTTACAAAATACTATTTTATAAAAACATTTAATTATTTAAATATATAGCTTTGGATATTAAAATACTTTTATGTGCATTTCATAGGCATTAAAACTGCATGTACATTTTTATATGCAAAATAAAATTACAACACAACAAACTATAACTGAAATAAAAACTTTATTTCTCTAGTATTATAAAAATGGTTGAGGTTAGTTTTAAGTTAATACATATACAGCTGTTAAAAAATCTCTTGAAGATAATTCCTGACTATAAATCCATGTTTATACCTGCACATAATGGACATAGGTCAATAATATCCGCGCACACACATGTATGTTACGTGCTAAATTATTCATTTATATATGTTATAATTATTTTATTTTACTTTATTACACTTGCTTGTTGCATTTTTTTTTTTTTTTTTTTTTTGTGAACAGAAAATAATAATATATTTATGTTTAAAATACTATTGTACATTTGAAAATTATGCATATTTTTACTTAGTAGTAATTTTTATTTAGTGAGATCTAAAAATCACAATAAATAACATTAAATTTATCATACATTAAGTCTGCAATTTAATACCAAAAATGTTTTTAAATATTTTATTTATTATTACATTTTAAATTTAATTAATTCAAATCTTTTGAAAATTTTGATTTAAAAATGAATATATACTGTGATAATCAACTAATGTGTTTGTTGAATGACCTCCAACTAAAGTCTAAGATTAAAAAAAAAAAAAAAAAAAAAAAAAAAAAAAAAGTGGCTTCATATCTGTACTTTGAAGTAACATCATAGCTCATTTTAAATACTAAGGCACACAAAAATTTATGTATGTGATACAATATGGTAAAAAAAATCAAACTATTAATATTCCTTTCATATATACTGAACTTCATAAAACTTAGATGGTCTAATAAAATATCAGCTATGAGAATTTCACCTTCTACCTAATTGTTAGCTATGAAAATGAAAAATTCCTGTAACTTCAGATTAGAAAAAAATACACATTAACAAAAATATTTAAAATTGTTATTTAAAAAATACAAAACAATTTTCTATATAACAGCTTACGTAGTATTTGATGGCACTGATCTCTGCATAATTTCAAGCCCAGAAATTTATTCACAAATTGCAGACAGCATCAAAAATCATGACTGGAAAGTATTACTTTTAACTGAGATTATGTTTTGTTGAATAAGTGTTCTTTACCAAGAAAATTCAAAGATGAATTATAACAGCTTAACAACTTACTAATTTCTAGTAACCATAAGAAAATATTGCTCTGGCATGGACAATTATTTGGGTCCAGTTTCAAATTAGGACACAGCAAAAACAGTAATATACTTCAATTTAAAACCTATATGTGCATTCTCTAATTGTGTAAGTTAGTATACATAGAAAACGCACAATCAATTGCAAAACATAAAACTGAAAAAATACTCTAATACAAACAACTTAAATTCTGCATTTTTATATCACAAACAATATAAAATGGTCTAGAAATATTTATTCATTTTACAATTGAATGGCTTAATATTGCCAAATAACCTGTTACTTAGATGCACATATATATATGTATATATGCATCTAAGTAACAGGTTATATTTGCATCTAAGTAACACTTAGATGCATATATATGTGTGTGTATGTGTACAAATAGTACAAGATAAATGGTTTGAAATATACTGTTCCATATAATAAAAGAAAAATCAATTCCTAGTCCCTTCCAAAATACATATTAATGTGCAATGCATAAATTATACCACAATCAAAATATGGATGCATTCTCCAATTTTCATTTGCAAATATCTAAATTGCTAACAGTTTTATAAGGTAAAATTTTTATCACCTTCTGTGCTACCAAACACCATAAATACAAAATTCAGTATAAATTCAGGACTTTTTAAAGGCAATAATAATAATAATAATAATAATATAATAATAATAATAATAATAATGAGGTTCAAAATACCCAAAAAACATAGTTTTAAGATCTTTAACACCAAAAAAATTAATACAAGACTTTGATTTGTAAAATTGACATGCACTCAATATAAAAAAATATATGAATATTTTTGCCTGCAAAATATAAGCCTGCAATTTTTGCCTGCAAAATATTTAAAAAAAAAATTCTCACTTTTCAATAATTAAATAATAAAACTATCATACATATATTCATTACAAAGCATTTTAAAAATGTAAAACTTCTTTTTCACTTTTAAATTAGGGTAAATTTAACATTTAACTGGCATTTTAAAGGAAAAACTAAAAAAATAGCTTTTCTATTAAACAAACATCAATCTAAAGCTGAATTTTGCCACTTTTTTATAACTTTCTTATCACAAAGTTTAGGTTTTTGTTGCAACTTCAAATATAGAATAATAATTTATTTAATGACTTTCAATCAATAGCAACAAATTTACAGAAATATGATAAAATGATTATAATTATTTTTACATGTAATAAGTTCAGTTTAAAACAGTAATCACTCAACATTTAACAGAGCACTAAATGGAAATATATGTACACGTGCATCACAAAAGTATAACCATTCTAATATGTACACTGTGTCACCTTCTCAACTTATCGCCTTCTTCTATTAAATTTATAAGTCTTTGACGTCCTTTTTTATTCAGCTGAGTAATACAATTTACCAGACCTATTAATTGTCGGTTTGTATACTCCTACAAGAAAACACACATTTTAGCTAAAAGATGATTAATACACACACACACACACACACACATATATATATATATATAATGGTAGCAATTACTATAAAAGTATGTAGATAAAAAAATTTTCAAATTTTCCAGTTACCAGAAGTATGTATATAATAAGCTAAAAACTTGGAATAAAATGTTATTGCCTTGAATTTGTTTGTTAAGTTTCCTTCTATGAATTATACATACATACACACACATAATATACATAATTGAATTCATTTTATTAGTTATTACTATTTCGATTGTGCTTTATTATGCATGTTTCTTAAAAAGGCACTGGTACATAATATATACCAGAAATTTGTAAATTTTTTAAACTTCTCAAAAATGCTAATTTTTTTTCCCCACCAAAAGCTGTAATCTTGAGCTTCTAGTGTTTTCTTTTGATTCTAAATGGCACACTACCTTATGAATGCTCAATATTTTGACGTTTTGACATTAATAGACCTCATTCAAAGGTATCACATTTGAAGATTCTCAAGTTTTACTGGAAGGGAGGGAAAAACTCAAAATCTTGAAATATAAGATTAACACATACAGAACTTTATATATTTATTGCATTTCAATCAAAACTGATAATTAAAAGATTATTCACATAATTTTAATACTGGTATATAAAATATACCACTGCCCACACTGAGGGTACCTTGCCAATAGATAGGAACACCAAGCCTCTCCACAATGTGATAGAATTTATTTATATTATAATTGCTTATAATGTAATTTAATACAGTTGTTTATGATTAATTTACAAGTTCTTTAGGATTAAATATTTTATGTTCATGGGGGGGGGAAGAAGAGTTTAATAACCTTGTGCTAGGAAAGAATAAAAGTATTTTAGTTCCTTTTTATAATTTGCTTACTCCAGTCGAGTTTTCATTCATTTCTGTTTAGCTAAAATTTAAATTTCACCACTTCATCCATTCCCGGAAAAAACTCATTGATTTCAAAACAGTCAACTGGTGTCAAAATGTTAGACAATTGTAAGGGGTAAATGTGGCATGCTAGCCCTGAAAGACACCTATTGCTTTGTGTTTTGCAAAAACACAGAAATGCAGTGAAAATGAAAAGAGATGATTGACGGATAACTTGTCATATTAGCAGGGTTTTGATATGATCAAACAAACCACAGTGGGGTTTCAGCAAGATCACACAAAAGGGAAGCTCACTCACAAACATGGGAAATAGGCATGCATTTTAAATTTTCACCTAGCAGTAGAATGGAAAATCTGTTGATCTGAAAGTATGCTTTGATGCTTTTGGGAATTGGGTTTGCTAATTTCAGGTCAGAGACTAAAGAAGACAAGAGGCATTTTTTGCTTGGGTAAGGATACTAGCACACAGTTTTCGAAATGTCTTCACAGTTGATGAAAGGCAGGAAAATATTTCTAAGGCTAGTGTTAGATGCAGAACATTTATGTTTAGAAGGAAAATATCCACTGGTTCTACAGGGCCCATGGGCCTGACAAATTGGGGAGGGTGGAAGGGCTTTGAAGTGTGTTTGTACTTTTACTTCTATTGAAGAAATATTCTTCCTGAGCAAAATTATATATTACTACATTATTTATCAAAATGATACCCTAGGTCGCCCAAAGGGCTGAAAATCGAAATAAGAGCTTTGTATTAAATAATAAAATCATTCAACAGCTTTTCTTTTTGAACAAAATGATATATTAGAACCTATACTTACAAAAAATTAAAAGAGGCCCTTATGGTTTCTTATAATCAAAAGTGTGCGGTGGGGGGTGATATTGGTATCATAGCAGAAAGTATTTTTTATATATTATCCAAAGCATAAAACATAATAATTTAAAAAATGTAACTTTAAATTTTTCAGCTGAGTCATAGTGTTTCATTGTTTAACTTTTTATTTTTCAGCTGAGTTGCATTCCTTTGTAACATTATACTAGTTCAGTTAAAGCATGATATGGTTTACTCATGCAGTGTTATATTTGCTAAATTTTTTAATAAAATAATAATATTGAATTTAAATAACTTTCCAAAGCATTTTACATAAGTATGTTCAACTAGGTGGCATCATCAAAGTGCCTAAAAATAAAAATTTTATTTCTAAAATTTTTAATTTCTAGAGATTTTAGAACTTTTTGACTTCAAACCTACATAACTACAACTGAGCACACTTTTCTATCGACATACATAAAATAATAATAATAATAATAATAATTAACAATTAGCAACTACATGGAAAAAAAGTTCCTCATGGACACTGGTATAAAATATATACTGGGGCCCCAAAATTCAGGATTTCACTCTAGATTTTTTTTTAAAATCTCAGTTATGTATTCTTAGGGTCCATAAGTTACAATTCATGCATAATCTAAATTCTTTTATATACTGCCCCTGAAAGGCTTAAACCATACAAAACAATAATGGATTTAGAAAACTTAGTAATAATACATATATAACATATTAGTAAAACATTAATATATATATATATAACATTAGTAATCATATATCCATATTATATATATAAATATAAATATTTTTTTTTTTTTTTTTTTTTGTAAAATAATCTAAATAACAAACACTATTAATTAAATTACTAAAAAAGGTTAGTTACTTAATTACAATAAAATCCCTTCATAAGAGTGGCAAAAATTAAAATATATTTTGAATATTAATGATGATAAATGTATATAGCACATTTTAATTGATTCTTAAGTTAATATAAAATATATAGTGTTACTTACTTCACATTTTTAAAAACTATCTGTGAAATTCATCTACAGATATGACCATTATATATATACACAAACTCTGTCAAAAATAATAAAAAAAATTATCAAAAATATGGGTCTTATATTAATGAGGGCCCTGTGGCTATGCCCATAGGTCTATTTACAAATAGAAATCTATAGTTTACACATTTTACACATACACACACAGGAAGAGGGGGGTAGAAAAAGAGATTAAGAGAGATTTTATGTTCCACATATAGATTTACAAACTATTCAATATAAAGTTTCAGTTCACTCATACATTATACTGGCTTTCTGAATTGCTATATTGGATTAAATTATTAAATGAAGAACAGTTACATTAAATGTATTGAATAGGCTATATAAATAAGTCAATTTGTGTTAACATTTGCTTGTGTAAAACAATATAAATATTTTTATTCAATATGTAGGAATAATTATTATATACAGAGATTTGAATATTTTACTCACATGGAATACACAAACTAAATATATTGAAAATTGTACTATATTTATAAGTTCTTAACTTTCTAAAAACGTTATTAAATTATTAAATACTATTTCTAAAAATAATTTTGAAATATATTATATGAAAATCTTAATCCTTACCCTGTGAGAACGTATCCACTGCTCTAAATTTGGTTCTAACATATAGTAAGCCTTTATATAGCTTTCCACATGTTCCTTTCCTGGAACTGGTTGAAGATCTGTCAGTCGCTCTATTTTACTCAAAAACTGTTGATAATCTAACTGCATTAGGGCACGACCCCCATTTGTGCATTTCTTTGCTTGAGAAAATCTACAATTAAGTAGAGTAAGAGCATGGAGGGGGGAGGAAATTTATATCAGTCCCATTTCATAATAAATAATGCATGCATTCAAAAAAAAAAAAACATTGTAATTTATGATTTATATGTTTAATTTACATATCTTGCAAAATGTACATACATTAATTCTAATTTCCTTTATTTATCATTTCACTCCTTTTAATTATTTTAATACAAAAGACTACTTTGGATAACAATTTATAACAATCAAATTTTTTTGTTCTAAATAGCTACCAAAGTGTTACCAAACGTAACATTTTTGTTATGTTACACACATTCTGATTACGTAAAACTATTTATTTGCCACTATTAGATATCTTATTTAAAGTTTTCTTTTCTTTTCTTTTTTTTATTATACCCTGTTTTCCCACATATTACTTACTATCACCGATTTTTAAATGTGGATTTAAACAATATTAAAAATGAAGTCGAAAAACATGAACTGCACACTAAAAATGTATTCTTTCTAAGCTTTTGCAAAATACTATTTTGTTAAATGATTTACTTCACTTACAAAACTAATTAATTATATATTTAAAAATATTTAAATTTTTTTACTTTCTTCACTAATTTGAAAATCAATAGCAATATACAGCAACCAGAATATTAAATAACTTATAGTAAAACGAAACACTAATATAAAAACAATGTCATAATGCCATTGCTGTTTGAGATTTCAGTATCTATTACCATCAGTAACTTTTTTCCTTCCAATGGCGAGCTCTCAGCCAACTTCGGCTTGGTGACATCTAAGGCCAGAAGGTAGTGGTCACTTTATTATGGAGGCACCTAATAGGTGGGCCACCTTTGCCTCCTATGACGGGACATACAGTTACAACCATGCCTTCTCTGGGATTAGAATCTGGGCCCTTTGGTATTGCAGCTGACTTCCCTAACCACTATACTGTCTGGGTGGCTTACCATCAGTAATTCATAACTATCATTTAAGCATTTCAATTGGAAATAGATGTAAGTTAAAAAAAAATTCTGGTGAGCAAAATTTTTAAAAATGTTTCATATTTAAAAGCCCACTGTTTTGATTACATCATACAATAAAATGTAACTATATAGGTAAGTTAATCAAAATAACATCAACAGCCGCAAAAAAATAACCAACAGAAATTTTTTATTTGGTGTTTCAATATTTTCTGAACACAGATGTTAATAAAATCAAAGAAAAAATTCAAAATCCTTTTTCAGATATTTTTATCCTAATGAATATGATGCTCCAAAATACAAATCTTGTTTTAAGATTTAAGCATCATATTAAAGTTATCACTATTAGCCACTGGGAAAGCCGCATTTAATCACGCTAGAATTTAAGAATTATAATATTTCACAATATGACCAAAAATGATTCTAATTCCAATTATATTAAATGTTATATCAGTATTTGTTGCAAAAAATTTTACAACAGCTTAACACACTTAAATACAGTCAAAGCCAAACGTGTTCATAAATTAATAAAACAATTTTAAAATCATTTCTGTTTTTCAAGAAATGCATTTAAAATTATCATTTTTATTTCTTATGAATATACAATATAGTCTTGATTATCCAGGTGCATATTAATCTGTCTGAAGATTATTTGTGCATGGCAATGCCCCTACACACACAATCGATGCTATGCAAGAGAGTATGTAAAAAATAAACATGTGCATTCATTCTGCATATTTGTTATTTCAGAAATAAACACATACAATATGCATGAAAATTGATAGTTTGGACTATCCATGACTTGAAGCCCCGACATTAGCCCAGATAATCAACGGTACACTGTGTTTTGATTTTTTTTTTAAATGAAAATCTTCACAGTTTATTTTCTGTATAAAATACACAAAATTATGTTAATTTGTACAACAGTTGAGTGCCAAAAGTATTCATAAGCTCTCTGTTGTGATATAAAAACAATTTGAAATTACAAGCTATTGCAATTAGCTATTTTGGAAACATTTATAGGTGACTTTCGCTATCTTTTGATTTATTTTCTAACTTATGTCTAAAATATGAGAAAGAACATTAGAAAAAAGAAAACTGACTATTAAGTTGGTGAAAGAAAAGAAAAGCTATAGTAAAATTGGAAGTTTTAGATAAAAGCTCAGCTACAATTCAAAGAAAAATTTTTTAAAAAAAGTATAAAACTTGGAAAATTCTTGCTAACAAATCTTGCAGTGGATATTCTCAGAAACTTATGGCAAGATGTAAAAGGCTTATTGAAACAATAAATAAATAAAATCTTCATGTTTCAAGCGCAAAACTCAAAGCTGAGTTAGAACAAGAATCTGGTATTGTAATTTCTAGCTCGACAATCAGAAAGACATTAAATAAACCAGATTTTCATGAATGATCTGCTCAGAAAAAGTTCTGTGTATCTGCTCTCAATGTAAAGAAAAGATTACTTTTCCAAACAAATAATAAATTGACATCTAGAGTTTTGTAATAAAGTTATATTCGGTGATAAATCTAAATTTAATACTTTTGGATCTGATGGAAATTCTGAAATTAGCAACAAGCCAAGAACAGCACTTCTATGAAAAAAATTATGGTGGTGGTAATATACTTGTTTGGGGAATGTATATTTGCTTATGGAATCAAGTTTTCAATACTGAAATCTTAAACAGAGTGGAGTAAAAAAAAAAAAAATGGGATTGGGAAATTATTTTGTATTTCAGCATGTAAATCCACATTGCTTTGGATGCTTTGGCTTTTGTATAATATGCACAGTCAATTAAATATCTCCTCTCTGACACTGCATACAAATGTTATAAAATATGTTTGGGCATATTTGCATAAGAAAATATAAATTGATTGAATTTCCAATAAGATGCAATTGAAAAAAGCTTTGCAAGAGGAATGCAACAAAATACATTACAATGTTGCAACATTTAGTTAATTCAATGCCCATAAGATTAATAGCAATCAAGAGAGTTAAAGACTATTAAATCTAATATTAATTAAATTAAAAACCAAGAAACTATGTGTAATTGTTTTGAATCTAATGTACAATCTAATTTGATTGATTTTTATACATTTGATTCTTGTTTGTTTTTATCTCTCAAGCAGAAATAAAAAGAACTAATTTTATTACATTTTCCTTAGTTGTCTTCAACTTCCAGCACCTGAAACTAATATTAAATGCTCAATATATCATTTTACTTGCAAATGACATAGGTTTCTCAACATTTTTGATTACATATGAATACTTTTGATAGTGACTATATATATATTTTTTCTGCTTGAAGTTGCTAATAATATTTGTTTTTGAATAACACAACATGTTGCCATTTCATATTGTACAATTTGAAGACCTTTGGTCATGTATTTCTTTAAAAAACTGAGATAAAATGGTAAATTCCATTTGAGATTCACAACAATTTCTCCCCTCTCCCCATTCATAATTGAACAAAGTGGTGCTAAGTTTTCAGATGGCATTGTTTTTATTTCCTAATAAAGGAACTTCCTCTTTGAGTGTACACTAAGTCATTCTTACCTAAAGATAAGGAACCACAAAAGAATCCTTTTAGGATAAGACAGTTTACAATAAAGATAAACTGATACAATGCATCTGAGAAAAGTGCACCTTAAGCTGTTATGTACTCTAAGGGGATACACAGATGACCAACTAAATGATGGGAGTTCTGGATAGTGGTGATGAGTTGTATACTGAATAAATGTTGATTTTAATAATATTATGTAAAATTTTTCCCCTATTAAATTGTAATCCAGTAGGCTAATAAAGACTCATTTACTCTCTTATACACAGGAGCGTCTTATACAAGAGGAACTACAATAAGTTCCTTTGCTTAAAATTTAATGACACAAGAGAAAATTAAAACTGATTTTCTACATGACATACCACTGGGTGCAATATCAATGATTTTGTTATCTTATTAAAAAGTATTATTACTAATACTTTTAGAAAATCTGCAACTAATTCTCTAATCCCAAAATCATGTGATCACTTAATAAATGTAAAAGTGGTAAATCAATAATCAAATTATAATGCAAGTTCTCAACAAAAACTTAAGAACTCTCAGACAAACAGCCTGAACTTACAAGACTCAAAATTTAGTTAACTTAAAATATTAGTACACAGGTGTTTATCTGTGCATTAATTAATTTAACTTCAGTTTCTTTTTTCTGAAACATAATAATGAGGAGGAAGATACTAAATATAATACAGACTCACCCTTCTATAAAAGAGTGATTGGCTAGTTTAATACAATGTTCCCACAATAGATCATATGCTTCTTTAGGAATTGGCACTTTTTTAGACACTTCTGACAATCTCATGCTAAAAACCTGCAGTTCCTAGAAAAAAATTTCCACGTTATACAAAAAAAAAAAAAAATTTAAATAAGTCATTTTGTGATATTTAGCTACAAATGAAAAATTAAACACGTTTTAGTACTCTTAAAATCAGGATTAATTAGCGATTGATATGGTTTTAAACAGTTAAAATTCTCATATATACAACATTTTCTAATTTTTTTTCCTCTCTTTTTACAAAAATCGATATGATTTGGCAGGAGAGAAAAGAAATTTCCCCGCCTACATTTATTCAATTTTCCACAGTAACAATTTAAAGGTTATTGAATTTGCAGATGCAAAAAAATTATGTTTCTTTAAATGCTCTACTATGAAGAAAATTCATCAGACTCCAGAGCACAAATATAGCCTTAAATAAATAAATAAAATAAATACTATCTCTAACTGGACAAGCCTAAAAAGAATAACCAGAGATAATGTAGCAATATTTAGACAGGGCAAAACTTGCATGTAATACAAACTTACTTTCTTAATATATGAACTCTCTTTATATCAGAGAGATTCAATTTAATTACTATTTTAAGTGCGTGAAATTTATTTACTGTTTTAAGTGTCAAACTGCTTTAACACACTTAGGTAGAAATCTCTTTGTTGGAACGTTTAACTGTATTTCACACCATGTTACATACTGATTATCATATTACAGTACAAATTCCAAAATCCAGACCAGCAGCTGTAGAAAACAAAATAAATAAATATAAAAAATTCTCCTCTTACAGAGCCTAGGAATGGAAAGTATTGATTAAAACAATTGCTTTCTCACCAGAAACAAGCAGGTATGCATAAATACATACAGTGATTGAAGCTGGTGATGATCACACTCTCCACTCTCGGCTCTAGAGTAATTGTTGGGGGTTAGTGTTTTTCAATCTGACTGAAACAATAATTCAAAAAATTGGGATCACAAAGTCTGGATGATTCCGGACCTCGCACTTTGTACTATAATTATATAATAATGTCTTTTTATTCAAAAAAGTTCCCCATAACTGTTTCACAAATAGTCTGAAATATGTTTTAAAAAAAACTATTTTGACGGATTTGAATGTGTTTGCTTTTGTTATTGTTTTTAAGAGAAGAGGCATTTGAATATTGGAGGGAAAAACAATGACACATTTAATCCTCAGCTGCGACGACATTACACCGAAATGGAAGACTTAAATAATAAATAACAGGTATACAGCATAATTAATATAAATTAATTAATGGATGAATTAAGTTTCAGAATCTTGTAGTTTCTACATTATATAACTAAACTGAATATCACAGGCATACGTAAAAATTATTAAGAAAAAAGCACTACATACTGACCCTCAGTAAGATGTCAACATAACTGCTGTGCTGTGACATAATTTCATTGATATCCCATTTGACAGCAGCCATTAAAGTCACAACTTGTTCGTAATCTATAGTTCTTGCAGCAACTGCCATGTAGATGGGCCTCCGCAATTCAGATGCTTGGCTTACAGTCTGGATTAATAGTAAACATTTTATTCTGGCAACTGCACATAATGTTCAACATACAAAGTTAAGTTTATATTTAAGTACAATACATAACTACAATTTTCAGTACTTTCTGAAAATCTACACCCATTCTAAAGTCCCCAACTCGTCGCTGACCACATTTTTGCTAAGCTAATAAAGAATAAGGCAACAGCTATTTTGAAAATTATGGCACATTAAGAACTGTTTTTGGCTACATTAAGATTCCTAATATAAGGGGAAAAAAGTAATGAATAGAAAGCAATTATTAATCAGAAAAATAACTGTCAAATATGAAGGTGGAAAGGTATTTGTCTGCTGCATGTAAGCATGTATACTTCAGTTGATACAGATTTTGATGATATAGTGCATTACTTCATAAATAGTCTTCAGGGATACAGACAATCAGAATGAACTCAATTTTTTCGGAGAAAGTATTAAGTTTATACAGTGTACAAAAAACAGGATCATTTTGACTGTTAGTTAACAATTTGGGGTAAAATTTTTAAAGTAAAAATTCTAAAATCTTCATTTCTTAAATGGAATTTAATACTTAATTACCATTTTAAAGTTTTGCAGTCACCAAATAATGCTATCCACTGTGTCTACATAACTGTTGCATCACCTTTGGCACTGGCCTGTGACAGAGTATAAAAAATGGGAGAGGTAGAGAGGTATGTTACATATATTCATTGCAAGATTTCTTCTGTTGCTATCCTTCATTAAAAATAATACAGTCAAAAGTCGTTGTTCAATTCAAGATTTCTTCTGTTGCTATCCTTCATTAAAAATAATACAGTCAAAAGTCGTTAATTCGGACACCCATAATTCGGAATGATCTATAATCCGGACATCAAAACTAAAAACTTTCTGCGCATGCGCCGCGTTGACACATGCGCATAGGCGTTTACGCGTGCGCGTAAGACCTTTTATGACTGCGCATATCAGTGTGCGCAAGTGCAGAATACGTTTTCGCGTGCGCGTTTTATGTATAATGGACGTATAAGCTAAAATTATCTAATTATCTATTTCAGTTAATGTTGATGATTGCGTTGTTCCTTAATTTTCGAATTGGATCCGGCTTATTATTTTTTTGCAGACTGTAAGAGCAATTTTATAAAAGTAAGCTTAAACTTTCGATTATATCAAATAGAATTTCCGATATATATTTGTTAATATGTAAAGGATCTAAAGCGAAAGTATGTTTTGAAATCCGAAATCTGTTTTATCAATTTCACGCTGCTCGCGGCGGGGGGAACGCCGCGCCGCGGCGGGCGCGTAATGAATTGGAAGTTGATTTGTCAGCACTATCCTTATCTTCAGCGCAGATTTTTTATTTGGCTTATAATTCCTTACCAAATGTAGTATTTCATCTCGATATGCTCCGTCTTTGATATGATTTAAAACAAGTTCCTGGTCATTATAATTCGCTTCCGATAGCGAAAAAAAGTAACAGAGGTTATTGAAAACGAAAAAATTTCGATTGACAAATTAGTCGGTGTTCTTGACACAGCAATTATAGGACTTGAACAGCGGAACTTTATAACTGAACAAGAAATTATGTCTGTTTAATAGAATTAAAGAGAAAGTATTATCACATGAAACGAAGCAAAACTTAAAACAACTTACATTGAAAGAAATGTTTAATAAAGTAAACAAATAAATATTAAGCTTTTCCGTTTTGCAAATTTTGATACCCTTTAGATCATAATTGTTCTTTATTTCATAAATTACGGTTTCATATTTTTAATTTTAGAATTTCTGCATGCCATCTTACGAGATTTAAACTGATGATCTATAATCCGGAAAAATCGATAATCCGGAATCGCCGAAGTCCCGACGAGTCCGGATTAACAACTTTTGACTGTAGTTAGTTTTAGGAACAAAAATGAGTAGTAAAATTTCTCATTTTATTTCACCATCTCTAAACTGGCTAAAAGAGCCAAGAGTTAAAATGATGATAATGTGACTGATGTCTTTTCTCTCCCTTTCCTGCACTCCTACTATAACAAAGATTGGAAATGGTTCTGAACTTGAAACAGGAATGACACACATTCCCCCCCCCCCAAGATAATTTCCAAAATTACAACATAGCTATTTTGAAAATTTGAAAGAAAGATGATGTTACACTTTTCAAATAATGATAGAAGGTAATAGCTTTGTAAAACTTTCGTAAATATTTCTTTTCATCACCTTTTTAACATAATTTCATAAAAAAAAAAAAAAAAAAAAAAAAAAAACACCAAAATTAAATGTAAGAAATATGTTTAACTTTTCTGAAACATGTGTATTCCTAATGTATTTGAAAACACCTTTTTGAAATGAAATGTACAGGGCGATGCACGAAATGTCATAACCTGTGTTTTGTTTACTACACAATTATTTATCATCAAAATATTACAAAATGAAATCATAGTTAACTGTTTGAGCATGCAAAGTGAATTATTTAGTGAAGAATGTGTGAGTGTGTGGTCATGGCAAAGCTTCAAGGGCTATCTGCCTAAGGGGAGGGATGCCTTCGTGAAGGACTTTCCAAGGGCAACTGGTTCGTATACATGTTATACATGGGGAAAACCACAAAAACACCCATGCAGCCATCCCATTCGCAGGATTCGAATCTCGGAACGAACTACCAGTGTTCAGTGACTTTATCGCTCAATCGCTGGTGGGCCATTAGTGAAGAATGTATTCAATACGTCCATCATTTTGTCTTACAATCTCTTGCAAAATGAAACCTTTGCATTTGTCACAAATCTCCAGCACGTCTTCCAAAATTGCATGGTACAACCGTACCATAACAGATTCGATTCCATTTGCAAGCCTCCTCTTTCAAAAATCTTAAAAAAATAAATAACATAGATTATGGACTATGCAGAGGCCAAAGTATACCACCTTCAAAAAACTTTCATACAATTCAGAAAATTGATGTGAAATTATACGGACATTAAATACCTGACACAGGAAATCAAGAACATCTGCAGTGCACTGGCAGGTTCTGTCTTGCAGAATCCACCATAAATATGTAAAAAGGGAGACCTGTTCCTATTTTCAGGTGAGCAGATATTTCATGGTTGCCATGAATTCTCCATCACAGGGCCAGTGGTTTCTATTGCTAACACAATCTGGAAATGGTCCATTCGCAAAATGCCCATCTTGCATCAAAGTGTGAAGGAAAAGTGTGTTGCCACTAAATTAATTTCTTCAAAAGACATAATTTTCATCTTTAGTTCAACACTCGAGAACTGTTGTGCAGCAAATTCACTTAGTTATTTAAATTATGACTTATAAAAAATTAATTTATTAATATTCTAAATTATGCTACACAATGTGTATTTTATTTAATATCTGTGCTAATGTATTTAATCTTAATTGGGGTTTTGGTTCAAAAGAATTTGTATGCTCATTTTCACTCATCACTCAAATATGCACTAAACACACAATGGAATCAGGTGCTTTTCTACGTAATAATATAGATTTTATATTACTTAACTTAAATTTACCCATTCTTAATTTATACCACTAGAAGCAGAAAAATTAGCTCTTTAATTTAAGATCACTTTCAAGAATCTAGCCATAACAGATTTTTAAATATAGTAAATTATTTAACTGAAATTTCCATTTTTCATTCTGTTGAAAATGAAGGGGGAGGAAGTGGAAAAATGCAGCTTTTATCACAATTGCTAGTTCTCTTGCTTATGCTGTTAAGGGATTTCCGCGGGGTTGAGTAAGGTTGCCAGCTCAACCTTCACAGCTGTAGACTTGCTGATAGTTTGGCAATGCTTAAATTTGTGTTTAGTTCAACGCCTCGGAAAAAGGCAAAATTTTACAGAGGCGGTGGTTGTAAAAACTAATTTTTTCACAATTTCTAGCGCTTGTTAGTCAATGTGGCAATCTCGTCATATCTAAAAGAAGTTGCAAGTGGAGATTTCACCCCTCTTTCTCTTCATGCTTCTGGCTCTCGCCATGTTCGCTTGATTTTCACACTCTCGTGGTTGCGGTTATTTTTGTCACCTCAGCTCGGTGATGGGAGGAGTTAGGACGAGTTCTCGTAGCTATGGTCCAAGAACAGATCATTTGGCCTAGTCTTGCCTTTTCATTAAGGAAGCTTGCTGATAATCGCTTACTAAAGGAGAGAATGTTACAATATTCAGTTCGTCAGCTAATTGCAGTTCCAGCAATTATGCCTCCTCCTAATGGGATCAACAGCAAATGATCTACCTCCAGTTCCAGAAATTATGCCTCCGCTTAATGGGATCAACAGTAAATGTTTAGTCTTAATCTATTCGGACAATAGCTACTCTTTTCTGCCTTGTAAAATTTGCTTGATTGATTTGATCAGTTTAAGAGTATAGTTATTTTACTCAGTACCCATAGAGATTTTCTTGCAATGAAAATGTTAAGGAAATTTTAAGTTAACTAAAGAAAAAATATCTTGTTAAAGTTCTTAAACTAGTTAATGCTCCGAGATTGAGAATTACCTTCTTGTACCTGCTGCTAAGTAAAATTTACTAGAAGAAATAAATTAGGGCAATAGTTGTAAATTAGCAAATACCGCTTGTATGACTTAAGTTGAGTGTAGATGATCCTTCTAGGAATTTTGTTAATATTGTGTTTTTTTGTTTATTTTATTATTATTATTTTTGCTTTATGTGCAATATATTAGATAAATATTTTGTTCTACAAAACCTTTTTTTCAATTTCTCTCGGAAAGAACTTTTTGTTTGTATATAGAATATTTTAAATAATTTTAAATGTCTTAAAGCTTTCTTTGATAAATAAATGTCATGTATTTCTTGGGATAACAATTGTATGTTTTATTTAATCACTACTCATGATCATCACCAGTTATCAACACAAGATTATTCTGGTTCATATTAATCACAATGCAATGTTTGAAATAGTTAGGTTAGAAATTTTTTTTTTTTTTTTTTTTGTTTTTGTTTTTGTTTTTGTTTAGGAAAATTCAATCTGTGTGAGGTGTCTTCTTAAAAGGCACCTTAACAGAACCATCATTCACCATCTTGCAATCTTCGGAAGCAAATTTGAATCTGATGCTAGCTTTTAATGTTATGTACTGAATTCCCATAAACAAAAGCACCCAAATATGTATTATTAACAATCCATATATACTATTAAAATTTTAATTTGGTGACTGAATGGTATGACATTTCTTGCATTATCTCATAGTTCAAATATTACTTTATTATTTCATTATAAGGGATTAGGAACAGATATTATATGACAAAAGGTACCTGGGAACAAAACTGTTGTAAGAAAGCTCTCTTTGTAGAGGGTATAAGTAATTCTAGATGAGGATGTAAAAGTTCAAATTGTTCTGCCAGAAAAACTCTAAAAGTAAATGCATAATATAAGGTATATTATATATTAAAAAAATAATAATTATAACAATCAAGGGGAATTGGAACACATGATATTCTACTCAGAAGAGGAAAGTCATCTAGAGGTAAAGAAGAATGATGAGAAGCAAATTTATAGTAATGCAGGAGTGACATACTTTGAAGTTATCTCTGAAGGATTATCAGTGAATTTCTTTAACAGTCAGAAACATCATGACATTTTTGTAATGTATCAATAGCCCCAAAAGGGTTATTAGTCTGGAAACTGGATTTTGCATTGGTTCAGTATATAAATAGTGAATCACTTTTTCAAATTATTATCACCCTATATTGCTTTTAAAGAAACTAAATAATGAAGAATCTACCCATACATATGCTCCTCGCATTATGAAAAAAATTACGATACTTAGGAGTCATCAGATTTTGTATAACGTAGTCTTACACTTGAACATATGCACCTGGAAGCCTGAATTTTGAATTTCATATTTATTATTTTGTAAAATGTAATGAGATTTTGATTAACAAACTCAACGATTCTAAAGCAAGCAATAGCAACACTATGCAAAATAAAACATTCTTATCTCCAGTGCACAAGATGACTGCCTATCAGAAATTCTAAAGATATGCTATTTTTAAATATTTTGCAATTTTGGTGTTGAATTGAATTTTATGTTGTATAAGTGAAAAGAACATGATATTAATAATTAAAGTTGTCACACAAAGTTTTAATAATAAAAAGACAAAAAAAAAAATTGCAGGCTAACTAACTAAGAAAACTGAACATTGATATAATGAACTGAGATAAAGACTGAAAAAAAATAGAAAAATTAATGCCGACACTGAACACTGCATCGGGAATTCTAAACATATGCTGCTTTTAAAATTTTTTTAATTTTACTGTTGAATTGTATATGGCTTAAGTTTGAAAAAAATTATGCTTCAAAATAAAGCTAAAAAGATAAAAGGAAATTTAGCAGGAATGAATGAAACAGCAGGGTAGACTGTGAGCTCAATGAAAGCACAAAAACCCTTAACAAATCCTTTAGGGCAATTGTCAAAATCTGAAACTTTTTAGCCCAAAGGGCATTAGCCCATAAGGGCTATTAATTCAATTTTAGCATTTTGCATCAAAAACATAAAATGTCCATTTCACTTTTCAGATTGTTGCCACCAAATATTGTTAATCTGTGTTATATTTAAAGAAATTAAATAACGAAAAATTTGCATAAATGTATGTATGTTTCTCGCAGTGTGATAAAACATTGACACCTAGAGCCATCAAATTTTGAATAACAGTAATGTATTAATAGCCCCAAAAGCTATATGGGCACCTCCTAGCTATACCTCCACCGAATATGGGCATCTGGAAGCCCTAATTTTGAATTTGTTTTATTATTAATTTCATATACCATAACTAACAAATTTTTTATTAACAAACTCAACGATTCCAAAGCGCAATGGCAACACTTTATGGGGGGGGGAAAAAAAAAAAAAAAACCTTTTTATCACCAACACTTGAGACTGTGTATCGGAAATTCTAAAGATATGTTCATTTTAAAATTATTTTGTGATATTGCTGTTGAATTGAATGTTATGGTATAACTGCAAAGAACATGATATTTAATAAATAAAGGTAACACCAGAAACATTAAAAAAACGACCCTTTGGGCATAATGTAAAATCTGAAAGCTTTCAGAATTTTTAAAAATTTTTTTCAATTTTGTTTCTTTTTAAAGGCATTCTTCTAGGGCTTTTAAGCTAAGAAAATCTCTACAAAACTTGGTTTATTATAGAATTATTAATTTCAATGTGTAAGAGTGCACCCATTTTGATATTTTCATTAAAAAAATATCTTGCATCCTCTGAAAATCTAGATATGAAATTTATATTTCTGAGTAGCTTGGATTAATGTTTATTGTATATTATTTTGAAGCATACATATCAAATTTTTCATCAGCAAATATTATGAATATTATCAATTTCCGTCATAACTTCAAGTATTTAATTCCTATTATCAGCAATATCTGATCATATGCTGACTATCTGTACTTTGATTTATTGAGTATTATTGAGAAGGAAGTTAACAAATTCAGACAAAGCAAGCAAATACTGTCTGTCTTAGATTGAATGTCTCCATGAAAGTCTGCTAAAGAGGACTGCTTGCATTCATTTTACACACAGCAAAAGTCATAAAAATACTCATACAACCAAGCCATTCCCAAGTAACCAAATACAGAATGAACTATCAGCAATCCTGACCTTTGAAAGCTGACAGAAATGTTAATATGTTGACAAATGGCCTATTAAGTTGCACGTGAGCAATATCTACAGCAAAATGCAATGTATCTGTACAAAAACTAAGTTTTAAAATTTAGAATAAACATAGTTGCTGTACAAAAAGCCACTTTTGTAATTTTTTTATTAGCTCCATCAAGTAATCTTGTGTTTAATCTTTCATAAGACAGTGAAATTCCTTATTTCTACTAACAAATCAGATTAAATATGATTGATCAGTATATGGTTAGTTCAAAGAAGGAACATTTGTAAAATTTTATAATCCCAAAATGCAGTTAATGTAAATGTAATTGGATTGAAATTCTCCCTTTCTCATAATTGCAATTCAGAAGTTCTACACTGAATATGCAAAAAAAATTCAAAGATATTTCAAATACATGTCTTTGGACATGCAATAAGAATATAAATTATCAACAAAAGAATTAGATTAATGTTGTACAATCTTTTAAGGACAAAAATGTCACTTCAGGTAGAAGCTAAAGTCTTAACAGCTTTTATTTTTATTTCATTTCAGTTAGTTTATTAAATATAACATAATTAACAGTGTTGTCAGATATACAGAGAAGCCAGAGATCAAGAACGGTTTAACTCACTAAAAAATAATCTGAACAAAACAACAACAAAAAAAAATAGCCTTGGTTGACAAGCTTACAAAACCAAGAAATCCTTCTGGGAAAACATGGTTAGTATGGATTGCAGGCGAAGATTTTGAGTGCTTATGACACTTAGAATCTTTTTTGTTACCTGTGATATTATGTCTCTATGCAAAACTAAGGGCTACAAAGTTAACAATGAAGATACAAAAGTTACTAGAGGAAGATAAAAATGAGATCAATAAGAAATAGCTACAGCAATTTCTGAAGTATTACCAAAAGGGAATTATGGAAGAACTACTGCCTTCAGAAGAAAAGTAAAAAAAAATTTAAAAAGTGTCCTAGCTCTCTGATTTACAAAACAGAGAAAGATAAAAAGTTTTTACAAAAAGGATGTCCATCCTGATAAAGTAGTGGCAAGCTACAGCATCAGCAGTTTCAATGACACTGCCATATCTCACTTTACAAACATTTTAAAACATAAGCAACAATGAATCATATGCCCCCTAAAGCCAGTTATCTGATGATGTTTTTAAGGAGAGAATTTCACATCTAAACAATAACATCTTTCTCACCATTTTCTACTTACGCCATCTACTGCCATCAACAGTGTTACCCAAATGATGTATCATAGACTGATCTAGAAATGACATAATTCAAAAAAGCTATTACTATTTTTAGAAATTTGAGAGGAAATACCCAAACTAAAAATGATTAATTAAGAAGCTATTACTAAATTAAATTAAAAAGCTGAATAAGATAAAAAATATATTAATCAATATTATAATTTAAACTAGCAATAGCCTGTTCATTTGCTCTCTATATTCTAAAAATATGAATTCATTTTCCGCACGGTATAATACTGATGTGGCAGAAAATTTGGAACCTGAACTCAAAATTCAGAAAACTAACAATTTTTACTTAGTAAGCAACCTAAACCAAAACCTTCTCTTGGTGAGCTTCCATGCTGGATAAATGCACACTTTAGCTTTTACCTCTCTTACCTTTAAGATGCTATTTGGCTTTCCTCTCTTCCTATCACAATAGCATCAAAAATGTTTATGTTCTTAAATAGGCATGATAAGAGTGGCAAGTAAATTGTGACTTCAAATGTCAACTGAAATTGAATATGGGAGATAAAAAATATCTAAATCAGCTTTATAATTTAATTCAGTAATAGCCTCTGAATTACTCATCTTAATTTAGATATTTCTTCTCTGCATTCTAAAAATTATAACTTTTCTGGACTGTGTCATTTCCAGATCAATTTATGACACATGGTTTGCATAACACTGATGACATAGCTAATTCAGAACATGAATTTAAAATTTTGAGAACTGAAACTTTTCTCTTAATAAGACACCTAAACAAAACTATCTTTTGGTGAGTTTCCATACTGGATTAACTGCACACTTTAACTTCTACCTCTCTTCTTTTTAAGATGCTATTTCATCTCCTCTCTTCTTATTGTAACAGCAAATCTAAAAATGTAACTATTTTTGAACAGTTATGATTAGAGTGCCAAGTAAATTGTGGCTGTAAATGTCAATTGAAATAAAGTTGAATATTTAATCTTACTCGGCTGTCAAATTTCCTCCTCAATATGGATCGATGTTCTACGCCATGGACATTACTATGCGTTTTTCATCACAATGAGTTGACCGGGATTGGATCACGTGCTACTTACCTCAATGGCACATCTATTCTCTAATCAGATTTTGGTTAAATATATACAAAATTCATAAAAGTGTGTTTGTTCATCTGCAGCTCGAACAGCTCGAAAGCTTGAAAAGTTCTAATGTCCAGTCAAAAAAATGTAATATGACCTTACTACTTCAATATTTAGAAGGGGGAAAAGGTGCATTTTAAATCATCAGTGATTCAACACTTAAGACATTCAGCATTACAGTGAACTTCCACTTCTCTTAATAACATTTCAGCATTCGAAAACTAAAATTATTATCTTCATGTGAACTTAATCAGGTTCACTTTCCAATGAGATAAAATTATTAAACATGCTGCAGACTCTATATTTTGCTTAAAGGTTTGGAGTTTGATTATGCTGTTTTGCAAAAATATGAAATTTTCATTCAAGAGATGAAAGCATAGTTCAGCATTTTTAAATGGTTTTGAATGCATGAACTTTATGAGTATTTTAATGTTATTTTGTAATGCATTTCTGATGCTTTTTAATATTTTATCGTAGTCCACACTGAACATTTTTTGTGGTCATGAAATAGATAATTTGGTCATTCTTTAATGTAATTGAAAATGTTTTTCATGGAATAGTAAATTGCTAATAATCATAATTCTTATTTTACATTTGAATATCTAATTCTATTTCTTCTATTGGATTAACTGCATAGCATTACTGAAAGATTAAAAATTATATGGTAATAGAAAATTTCATTTTACAAATTTGGTTTAACAAATTAAAAAATTTTAAGATTTTATTTAAGGAAGGACATTAAGCTATTTTTGTATAATGGTTTAAAATTCTTTGAATTATTTTAAGAATAATATTATTGTTTCAAAATTTGAAATTCTTAAGAATTTTCTGACTATAGCAACTTCCTTCTTTTAGCCTCTTTTAAAGTTTTTTTTTTTTTTTTTTTTTTTTTTTTTAAAATAAACCAAAAAAAAAAAATTTGCATTAATCTCTGCTTTATCTCCTAACTTGAACTTTGGAGAACTCTCTTTAATCATTTTCTGCCTCAGTAAGTCCCCCACCCCTTTGAGATTTTTCGAATTTAATTAACCCTCTAAGCGGCAAAGCCGTATATATACGGCCTAGAATATTTTTGTGATATCTGTAAGAACGTATATATACGTGCATATTAAAATATGTCAAAGAAATTAAAACAATATATCAAAATAAAACAAATCCAAGTATGAAATACCATCAGAGTTTTTTACATTAAAATAAAAAAATAACTTGTTCTCATGGTAGTTTTGGGAAATTTGCACTTTCTTAGGGAAAACCCTGCCCGCTCAAAGGGTTAAAGATTACTGTTATTTTTTAAAAAAGCTGTACATATTTAGAATGCATAAACTGCTAATTTTATTTCTTTAAAAGTTTTAGAATAAATATGAAACATATATCGTCAGGGCCAACACCAGAGATTGTGTGGCAGAATCTCTAAAATTTAGTGAACCAGCGTGGAGCAAAGTTTAGGGATGGCAAGATTTTTAGAATATAGATCAGGTACATGGCAGTAAAAATTAGCAGTTTTAAGTTTAAAGAATTTTAAGTTTAAGGAAACACTGGGCAACAAAATTTAGTACCTGAGATTGTACCAAGTGGAAAAATGCATTGTGTATGGTTTATGGTGCACTCAGATATATAAGATGATTCTTTTAAACTGTCAATTTTAAGTTTCTTTATAAATAGAAAAATTCTTTTTTGCAGATCTATTTCCTGACATAAGACTAGAAACATTCTTTGCAATTTTTTTATGCTTGTGTCTAGTAAAAAGATCAGAAAATAGATAAATATCTTAAGAGAAAAACTTTGAAGATTAAAAATAGGAAATTTAAATTATTTAAAATTTTTGCTTTTGCTAAGAAGTATTTCAAAAACTGTGCTTTACAGCATATATTATGTTGTTTATTTTTCAGAATCAAAACATTCATAAGTCACCAAAATGGAAAGTAATCTCACCTTAAAATATGACAGGAAAAAAATAAATAAATATGTGTTATTGTAATGTTACTTCTTAAATATAAATTTAATATATTATCATACTCTTAATGACATTTATCAACATTATTATATTTGCAGAAAAACTGGCATATCTTTGAATCAAAAATTTTAAATACAAATAGATTTTAAAATAGTAAACATGTTGATAAGTTGCCAAATTTAGGCTACATAACAAAAGAATTGCTATCCCCAAAAAGGAAATGTCATAATTTACAACCTATACACTTGGGAAAAAAAAAATTCAAAGTGTTTATATTTTGATTGAGTGACAGCTTTGTACCCAGAAACTGGAGTATTGCACACCTATACAGTCAAAAGTCTTTAATCCGGATTTTTCGGGACTTCAGTGATTCCGGAATAGCGTTTTTTCCGGATTATAGATCATCAGTTAAAATCTGGTAAGATGGCATGCAGAAATTATAAAATTCAAAATATGAAACTGTAATTTATGAAATAAAGAACAATTATGATCTAAAGGGTATCAAAATTTACAAAAAAAAAAAAAAAAAAAAAAAAAGATTCATATTTATTTACTTTATTAAACATTTCTTCTTTCAATGTAAGTTGTTTAAGTTGCTTCCTTTTATGTGACTTTTATTCCTTATACTTTCTCTTTAATTCTATAAACAGGCATAATTTCTTGTTCAGTTACAAAGTTCCGCTGTTCAAGTCCTATAATTGCTGTGTCGAGAATACCAACTAATTTGTCAATTGAAATTTTTTCGTTTTCAATAACCTCTGTGTCAGTTTCTTCACTATCGGAAGCGAATTATGATAACGAAAAATTTGATTTAAATCATATCAAAGACAGAGTACATTGAGATGAAATACTACATTTAGTAAGGAATTATAAGCCAAATAAAATAAAAATATCTGGCCCTGAAGATAAGGATAGTGCTGACAGATCAATTTCCAATTCATTGCGCGCCACGGCGTAACCCCCCCCCCAGCCACAGAGCAGCGTGAAATTGATAAACAGATTTTGGAATAGTTAGAGAAACAAAGGATATGCCTTTTTCCATTTTTTGCAATTCCACTTTTTGTTTGATGGACATCAAAACATACTTTCGCTTTGTAGATCCTTTAGCAGCTCCAGCATCGGAAATTCTATTTGACATAAAAGAAAGTTCAAGCTTACTTTTATAAAATTGCTCTAACAGTCTGCAAAAAATAATAAACCGGATCCAATTCGAAGATTAAGGAACAACGCAATCTGCAACATAAACTGAAATAGATAATTAGATAATTTTAGCTTAGCTTATAATGTTCGTTATACATTAAACGTGCATGCATAAACGTATTATGCGCATGTGCACATGCCCATACACATGCATAAAAGTATTACATGCATGCTTAAACGCCTATGCATGTGTGAACGCATTATGCGTTGACGCATGCACAGAAAGTTTGTAGCTTTGAGGTTCGGATTACAGATCATTCTGGATTATGGGTGTCCGGATTAACAACTTTTGACTGTATTAGAGGTAGGAATGAATTCAAATGATAACCTACCAAATACACATTTGTCAATGAAATCGTCAAAAAATGTTGCTCAAACTGTTAATACACACTCAAAATGGCAGCAGTAAAAAAAAAAAAAAAAAAACGGAACGTCAGATGAGCGGACTTTTTGCTGATGCTAGTCAAAATTACGGATTTTTAAGGATCAAATTTGTTCTCCATAAGCTTAATATCTTTTAACCATTTTTAAGGATCACACGAACCCTTTAAAATGCACTGCAGTTATATTTTCTATATTATTATTATTATTGTTAACCTCATTCAATTCAAGTGTGATACTTTTTTCTACAAATAAATAATTACACAACACACTTTCTCAAACCTTGCCATTTATCAAATTTGATGGAGAGAATATGTTTGTTGAATATGACCAGAGATTAGAGAAATACACATAACTTTCAAAACATTGTTAGATTTTTATACCGCTTTTCATGACTTGGCAACACTTTCTTATAATTATTAATTTCATGACAAATCATAATTAGTTATATTTAGAATACAAGTTAGCAGAACCAACTCTTCAATTTGTTGAAATTTTAGATATTAAAAAAAATTCAGGCAGTCTATGATTCAATAAACATTATACTTTCTTAATTAATAATACTTACAAAGATTCAGCAGCAGCTACTCTCTCAGCTAGTCCATAAAGATCTTCCACTTTTTTCAAATTGACAGCAGAGGACAATGTTGGCGGTGGAATTTTATCCTAAACACACAAACTGTTACAAATTATGGAACATCAGAAAATGTGAATTTATGCATACACAAGCTAGAGAAGAATACAAAGAATAGTAAATTTTTATATTTTAGCATATGTAACAATATGCCAAGACATGAGGATATTATGATACTACACTACAACAGAATTTGGATAAACTGCAAATACCCATGTCTGTGCTCATTTTTGGATCTGAATTCATTTTTTGGGTCTAAAAGAACAAAAACTTGATTTAAAAAAAAAAACAGCAGAACAATTTTTTCAAATACTTTTTTAAAAAACAAAACTATCCATATATGATCTTTTTCATTAATGAAATGGCAAATATTTTTATTATTGAACTTATTTAGCATTTTCTACATACATATTTTCTTTCCTTTTTGTTTAATAATAAATACAGGCAGTGAATTTGCATGCAAATTTCTGGTCTTATATAAATCATTATTTTTGGATTACATTATGTTGTTTTAAAAATTAGATGACTTTATGTAATTAACATGTGTAAAGAATTTATTTATTATTTCAGTCACTGAGTTTCAACTTGTTCTTTGCAGCTGATTTATTTAAATTCTGTACAAGATACAGCTGATTTATTTAAATTCTGCACTTAGTTATATTTGCGGCACTCAGGGATAAATTCTGAAAAATATCATGTGTACAGAAGTTTCTTACATTAAAAGTTTTAAAGAATGGAGATAGTTTCTTTTACTAAATGTAAAATTTCACATCTACAAGTTTTTACAAGCCTGGTAATGCTTTGCAAGGTATTAATTCTACTGCATATGTGCAGAATGTAATGTAAGAGTTAGTAAAGGTATTCAATTTAGGGAAAATAAGAGTGCAGGGGCTTTTTATAAACAGTATGTATTTATTTAACATAGTTATTCATGATTCAAAGCACAAAAATTATTTTGAAAATAATTTTCTGGTGGATATATATATAAGATACATATTAAAATTATTAATATTAAAATGATTAAATTAACAATATTTTTTTACATAAAATATTTGATGTACTTTTACATTTTCATTTCATTTTTTCCACAAAGACCTATCATTTATTCCTTTTTGCATTGACACTTTTTTTTCCTTTTACATAAATGTATTTAAAATATATAATAGTACTGTATTCAGATTTGGATTAAATTGGAAAAATTCTCTAATTTACACAACCCATGGTTCCAAGGTGTGCAGATTCAAAATTCTGTTATACTTTAAAAAAATAAAAAAGTGACAATTTATAGAAAAACTGGATTATTTAAATATCCGAAATCCCACTCTAGGATTTTTTTACCAACAATGCCTTTATGAAGAATTTACGTAAAGAATAAAAAAAGGCCACTGATTGGCCATTTTCGTAAAAAGGATGCCTTTAAGAACTCTTGCAGAATTTAGTCCATAATTACATCACATGTACACACATATGCATATGACCCCCTGCCCCCCCGAAAAAAAGATGTGAAAAACTTCATATAGATAGCAAATCCAACCATTAAGAATATAACCGAGATAAACTACGAAGATTTTGTGACTCTGGAACTCAGCCACTGATTGGTCAGTCTCCTACGAAAGATTAATGGAATAGAGACGCCTCTAATTTAATAAATCTATACACAACTGTGAAAAACATAGTGAAATCTTTTAACCTGTTTTCAGCGTTCACTAGTTACAGAAATTGATTGCTTGCTGCTGACTGATTTTACATGGTCCAATCTAAATTACATATCTTACTAAATATGCATGTTCTGCTAATTTAATGAAAAATTTCTTTTTCGTCTTCTGTATATTTCCATTAATGTATTAAGATGATGAAATTACCTTGTTTCTAGTATCGAAGGTCTCAGCTGCCTCCTCTTCTGACATAAGATTTTCCCGAATTCTCTTCAGAGTTGTTCTTAATTTATTACTCAATATATTTTCAGTTAAATCACTCTATTAAAAAAATGAAACAAACAAAAATATAAATATGCAATAAAATTTGATTATTCTGAGCAGAGTTAAAAAGTTTCTAAGTTCAATGCAATTCAAAAGATTTTAAAATAGCTTAATCTGCTAATAAACACTTTACATTTCTGCAGATCAATCAAAATATATGTAAACATATATTTAACAATTTATTATAATAAATAACATGTAAAACATTAAAATACTGAAAGTTTGTTGGCTGCTGCAGAAGTATAACAAACTACTATACTGAAATATTATCAGTCAACAAATACTCATATTAAATTTCCATTAAAATAGTTTTGCACCATAAACTGGCAGCAATTTCTGTGTAGTAATAATTAAATAATTTAAAATCAAACTGGTATAAAAACAATTAAATTAAATTGTATAAAAGTAACAATTAGGGAAAAAGTGTAATATTAATAGTTGGAAATAAGAATTTTTCAAATCTACAACTAGACATATTGCTTGAATATTAACATTTAAACTTCATTCTTTATATTTGGAATTACATATTTTTAACACATTATCAGGTATTTTTTAAAGTTTATATCATTATATTTTTGTAAGGTTTAATAAATTGTTCCTATATCACATATTAATAATGTTAAATTATCCTAAATTAATTTGCAAAAGTTGTAAGGTTTTTCTCTCTTTTTTCCTGCCTTCTCAGTGTAAACAGAAAGCATGTCTGACTAACAATTAGAAAGTCTGAAGTTTGAGTCCCATTGAAGGTCGCTGTCGATTTTCTTATTTTTCCTGTTTCTAAAAATTCTACATGATTCTATAAGATATCACTGAGAATGATAAAATACTGCTTGTGGTTATTGAATGAAATAAATTTTGGTTCAAGAGTTGGTATAAGAATCTAACCTATGTTTCTTAGGTTACATGTTTTTTTAAATAGCTTTTGGTTTAAGAGTTTCATGTAATAACATAACCAATTTTGTTTGGGGGGGCTTTTAAAATTCCATCTTTACAATATTCTCCTTGATATGGAGATCTTTCCACATAAAAATATTATAAAAGATAATTCAAAACTAAATTCCAAAATTAATTTTATAGTGCTTTTTTTAAGAAAAAAAAGCTTTTTTAAAAAAGGATTTAGATAAGATATAAATAATCAAAGTACCCAAAAATATATAAAACAGTTGCTCATAGACATACCATTTCTTTTGCAAAGAAAATGTAGACCTACAAAAGAATAGATCCAATATAAATTTTAGGCAAATTATCACAATTCTAATTTTTAAAAGACAATAATGAAGGTGCATCTGAGAATTTTTTTAAAATATAAACAATATATGAATGTAAGACATAAAAAGCTATATAAAACTGGGATGTGCATATTGCACTCATAATGACTTGTGAATGAGAATATGTATCTGAAGGATATCAAGAAATAAAATGAATGTGGTGAATTCATGACCATATCTGTCTTCAATTATCACCCTTTTATCTATACAATGAAGAATCTTCAAGTTATTACAGTACACCATCATCAACCCATTACAGCTATTCTCAAATCATCCCATTATATGAACACTTAAATATGTAGTAATAAAATATCTTAATTTGATTATCTAATGCCAGTAGTTTCTGAATTTCTGATACACTCCTGAAAAACTGATACTCACTTAATGTACAGACTAAATTCCAAACAAAGGCTATATAAACCATTCTAAACAGCATGTTGGTGAATAACAAAACTGGCTGTCATATTGCTGTTATGTTAAATCCCACAGATGATATAAAAATTAGCAAATGTATAGTGTCTTAGCATCAGGAAGTATTTCAAATCATTAAATTAAGTCTACTCGGAGCTAATAGTAGCAGAAAAGGGTATGAGACACTCACATTCTGTTCCTCTGATGTATTCTTTATTCAGCCTAAAGCATCATGCTGAGAAGATGTTGGGGAACGCATTCACCCAGATATGAAGCTAAGCAAAGCAACAGTTTTAACTAATAAATCCTGATTCTCTAATAAATCGAATAAGTGAATGAGTGAAACTTGCTATGGTATAAATTGCATGAGAAAGAGAATAACAGAATTAAAAAATAGAAAATAAATTCAATTTTAAAAGTTGTATAAGCCTTTTGAGACTTGGAGATAAGATTAAACAAAGATTAAACAGAAGTAAATAAAAAATAAATAATATTAAATAAAGATTAAATGAAGGTGAATCAATTATTTTATTGTTTTCAAATTTAATGCTAAAGAATGCTCTTCCCTAAATGGAATAAGTGCACTGCATGCAGATAACAAAAACAGTTTAGCCATTCTTTCATGCTGTGAAGAGCCTACCCCAGTGACCATGTGATAAAATTACTGAACACTGGTAGTTCAACTTGGGTTCAATTCCAGGCGAACGGGCTGGCTGCATGGGTGTTTTTGTGGTTTTCCCCATCCATAACATGTACATGAGCCAGTTTTTCTTAGAAAGCCTTCCACAAAGGCATCCCTCCTTTTCAGGAGATTGTCCTCGAGTGCTTTTCTATTATCAAATAAACCAAAAACAAACTAAACATTCATGTAGCAGAGAGGTAAGAGTTTTTTCCCCTTTGAGCTTGTAAGATCAATTGAGTGTATCCACGAGACACATATTTTTTTCTCTTTGCCTTTTTCAATATAAGTATCTTCATATGAACATTTTACTACTTCTTTCCCTAAGAAAACAGCAGCTTTAAGTTCCTTAAAAGAGGCAAGAGCTCACACAAAGATTAGATTTTCATTATACTGCCTCTAAACTCCTTGCTGTCTATGCTATCATGATGTTAAATGATTTTAACAGAGTATTCTGCTATTTTACAATTAATATGACCATGATTAGTATCTTAATCGCATTAAATTTATAATTTTTTCAACAGAAAATTTCAGTAGGATGAAAGAGATATAACTTACTGAAATGCAATCAAAATAAATTAACACTTATTTAAAGTTGAATCTTACTTAAATTTAAAGTCCTTCTACTTAACTGAGAGAAAAGAACAAATTTCAGAACAGGTGCAGGGGAAAGTCAATGAAAATATTTTACATAACCAAACGATACATTTATTTTACTCAAACTACAGTTATCAATTGTATTGATGGTTATGAAAGACCATTATACACTATCTCACACAATACACATTAATTTTTAGACAGTGATATACTGAAATTTAATTTCCTTAAGCTTTATTAAATATACTGCCAAATTTTAAATTGTCTTTAAGATGCCAAATTTTATCCCACCTTGCTTTTAAATGTTTTTTGTAGTGACATATTTGGAGGTTACGCCATGTGAAAGATTTTCGATTCCAATAAATGTTAAAAGCAGAAAGAAAGGTGCATTCAAACATATCATGAATTACAGTAGAGAGTTAGTAAATTTCAGAATGTATATAATTTGTGCATATTAAAAGAAAAAATATCTACAGTATTATCCAACAGTAATTTATATGCAAGAAATAATATAAATGTACTTAAATTCTACATTATTATACCAATGAAACATAATTACATTTAAAAGTATCACGGTAACTTGCATAAATTTATTTTACTTACAGAATACATATAATAGTCAAACAGTTGAGACATGCAGATGAGAACATCAAAAGCAATGGGCTTCAGAACACTCATCATTTGCATATATTTTCCTAAATCAGCCCAAAAAAAAAAAAAAAAAAAAAAAAAGGTCACATAACTTGATTAGAAGTAATACATACTATCTGTAATGCATATTTTGAAAGTCAACATTATGTGCATAATAAATCCTGTTTAATTTGAATAAAATCATCATACACAAAATAAGTACTCAATTAAACTGATAACTTCCCATACCTCAATAATTTATTCAAATTCTAATAACCCATTTCAAGGAAAATAAATAGTTTTTAACACTTATACTAAAACAAATAAATGTAATAATATGGTACAGCAAAATATAAATGATCTTAAAAAATGGTTATAAAATTTCCAGTCATTTTAAAAATATTTGAAATAAAGCAAAATCATACCAAACGAGCGAAGAACATTCAAAGCTGTATTGGTTAAAATTGGAACTTGTTTTTTCCTTCCTGCATGTGTAACTTTCTTACTAAACTTAGACTGACTAAAAAATTTACGCATTATCAATTTGTGCATTATTTAAAACAATATATGAAAACTTTAATAAAAATATTGAAGGGTAAGTATTGAAGGGAAAGTAATGCGTACACTTTTTTTGGTATATCTTCTGTATTTTCATCAATGAAATCTTTCTTTAGTTCGTCAGGAATTTCTGAGTCATCACTGTCTGAATCATAATTAGTTCGATCTAAATCATCATTCTGAAAAAGATAATAAAATTTTCATTAATTTAATCAGTTAAATTATGAAAAAAAAAACAATAAATTGTACTAAAATTTCTTTCTAAAATGCATTAAGTACACTAAGTAGTTACAATATTTATATAAATACAGTCTAAAGTTATATAAATAAGTACAGTAAAATTCAGCGAATTTAATATACAGAATATCTCTGTCTGTGACAAACTTTCAGATTCGTGTTTCAAAACAGATGAGTAAGAAATACTGACAAAATATAGTGAATTATTCCTTTTAAAACTTTTTTTAATATCATCGTAATAGTTAAATTATAAATGTAAAAATATATAACAAGAATGCTTGGCTGTAAGAGGGAACCCACATGCTACTATTACATGTAAACACTTTTATATTAAAAATATCAAAATCAAACATGTTTGAAAGATTATTGAAGAGTTATATAAAATTTCATAAAACCACACCTCTTTCAATGCAAGAATGTCTTCAGTTTCATCATCCTCAAACTTTTCTTCAAATGGATCATAACTTTCCATATTCTTTTTAAAGAAACTTTCTCTTCTACTTGGACTACTAGCTTTTTCTGTTTTTTCAGGAGATGATGTAAATGACTGATGTCTGATACAAGTTCGAGTTAGAAAACGAAACTCCTGGAATGATTTCATATTTTAAAATATAACTTATGTCTATATAAATATATTATTTATATACATGCAAATGCTTAATAAAATACTAAAATATTCCAATTATTTTAGAAATTGTTAATATTCAATTTACTATAAACAATTATTTCCACATTTTTTTTGGATTTAATTTCAAAAATTTCTCATTATTCCTCTCTTTTAAAAGATCTTTAGACTGAAGTATTTATGAGAAATATTTATCATCTATAAGCCACAAATCTTCTAATACCTGCAAATGCACAGCAGAAAATGCAGAATGAACAGGACAAATTTCCCAACTTTCATGTTCAAGAAAAGTGCGCAATTCTTCCATAAAACCTCTGAAATAACAATTTTCAATTAAAATCTTATAAACAAACAACTAAGTAAATAAATAAAAATAAATATCAAATAAATAAATAATAAACACCAAGCTAAATAACAATAAAAAAAATGAGAGATCACTTTCTCAAATTTATCTCTTTAAAATAAAATTTTCAAATAGAAATTAAAATATATATATATAAAATCAGAAGTTACTTAATTATTTACAGTAAAATTATGATCATGCCATAGCAGTTGATTTACCAGGGTCACAGTTATAACATATCTCATTAGGTTTTCATAACCAGGAAACATGAGAAATCAACTCTGTCCTTGCTTGGAATCAAGCCAATCTTCCAGTTTACTAGCCACACATGTTAATTGCTTATACCACAAAAGTATGCATGAGGGAATGTGATAATTCTTCACATTTTTCACCTCCAAAAAGATGAATAAGGAAAGGCATAACCAAATCGAGGTGGTTATGAATTAATGTTCATTGTATTTTAGTTTGAATATCACTGCAAATCAACTTATAAGATTTTTGGAGCTGGGAAACATGAAAAATTAACAATGCTTTCATCAACATTTTAGTTGATCTTCCAGTTTGCTAGCTGGATGTATAAGACTTACATAATGAGAGCATGTGCAGACATATGCAATAACCCTTCTAAATTTATGCTCAGTTATAATTTCTAACACTTTAATTTAAATATATAAGAATAAAAATACAGAATAAAATACAGAATAAAAATATAATTTTTAAACTATCCTCTGCTTTGATACAAAGAATTCTGTACATATTGTTTTGTTTTTGCTTGCTTACATTAAAACAGTGGATCAGTACTTACTTTGAGGCTACACTTGAACTTGGTTGTAATAATGATTATTCCTAAATGCATTTAGAAAAATTCTCAGTAATTCCTTCAGCTTTATTGATTATCAATTATACTGAACAACTACTCATGCATTTCAAAACCACCTCTGGTATATTTTTAATTTGGAGAAGTTGATGAACTGAAACAAATACAATATTTTAACCTTATTTTTTATTCTTTTTGGCCTTTCAGTTTATTCATTTCTCCTAACTGGATGATCAAGAAGTTCAAAATACTATTACCGTAGTTCTACCTGTAGAGTTGCTCAAATCATTTCATATAAAGCTTCTTTCTTCTTGTAAAATTTGTAAATAGCTTGTAAATTTTCTTTGCTGATTAGAAAGTGCAATTTAAATTCACATATTTCAAATTCTGCTTACATTCCTCAGATATTTTTCAGAATAACATGTAAAAGAACAGCATGTTCATTAGCAAATTTCAACCAAAGCTCATTCTACAACTCCATTTAAATATGATTTTTATAGCCCTTTTTGGCAAATTTATTATGTCTAAGAAAGCTTTTTGTTATTTTGTACAAATACAGAGCAGGCCATAAGATACTACAACTTAACAGCAATTCAAAAGAAGGTTAACTAATGTGTTTTACATGTCTTGCAAGTAACTCTCGGAGCAAAATATTCTTAATCTTAACACAAGTATTGCTGATGTTTACTGACATATTCTACTTTCTTTTTATGACCACCTATCATTACGCTCAGTGACTTTTATTTATGAGAAATGGTTAAGGACCATATTTATGTTGTGAAACAAGGGCACCTTAATGGTTTTTGTCAATGAATTACTGATGTGATTCAATCTGTGTTAGTTATCATTATGCATTGCCATGTTATGGAGAGCATAAAAGAATGGATGGATGCATACCTACACCAAGAAACAAAATGACCAGGTTAAGGTGCTTATTAATTTAAGTTAAATGAAATGAAGTGACCAACATCTGCAATCTGTATTATAGCCATATCTACATACATACACACATAACTTACATTGAAAATTAATATATCCACTTAACTTGTAACATTTTTGTGACCCATCTCATATAATGACAGACATGCATCATTGCTATCTTTCTTTATATTACAATATTATTATGAGAATTAGAACCAGTTAAAGAAAAAAATTTCAGGTACATAATAATTACATATTTGTCACTTTACCAAGAACTTTAAACAATCTTATGCTTTTCTTCAAATTACAGTGAAAAGTCCAAAAACACATAAAGGTGGTCAAAAGACCAGTGATATTTTAGTTTTATACACTTATAAGCAAGTACTGCATTCCTATGCTCATGATGTAAGTGGTTAGCAAATGCAGTTAGCAGTTGGAAATCCATAGTTCAAATCCTGGTGAGAATACAGCTGATTTTTACTGTCTTCTGCTTTGCAAAACCTAATAGTCTCTGTAGCGGTAACTCAAATATGGCAGACATTAACTCATCACCACCTGAATTTGTTTGAATGGGGCATGCCTCTCTCTCCCTAGTTGCCCTTTGAAGGAACTATTGCTTGTTCTAATGATGTTAGTATTAGCACAACCAGCTAGCTATTGGAAGACCTGTGGTTTGAATCTCAGCAAGTGTGAGCATTACTTAGCCAAAATTCTTCTCTTTCATAGTTCTTTTTTTAATTTTATTTTTTTTTTCACAGATGTATTAACAGTGCCGTATCTTTTTAACTGCATTAGCCTATATTTCACTGCTTGAAATTTTCCAAAAATTTTAAGATTATTTTTCACTTATGCAGACTAAAGCTTACCTGATGTAATTTTTAATACAAAATTAATGATAGGCACAATCATTTGACTTACTCTGTATGGAAATGGAAAGCTATCCAGTCGAAACAGCACTGGTTAACTGAAAGTAACCAACTGAAAAAAGGCTGGAAAGACAATTTGCCAGTTCTTAAATCGTGTTTTTCAAATACATTGTGCATTATTTTTGAGGAAAATGCTTTATTTTAATATTAACACATATTCTTGGGAGATATAAAATAAACAAGTTTTTCTCTTTTAGAGAGGGAAAGGAAATGAAATTATATTGACTTAAGTGAGTATCCAGCTAGTAATATAAAGTTAGCATTTTTTTCTTTTCTTTTTTTTTTTCCTTACATATTGTAACATATTAAATGAAACAAAATCTAAATTATCTGAAACACTGTTTTATCCAAGGGACAAGACAGTGAGGTTCTACTATACAAAAATATCAAATAAAAACACTCTGAATTCAGCATAACCTAAGAGTTTCTGCGCTGTATTAGAGGTAAGCAACCTCTAATGCTGGGTTTAGATCTGGATAAATTTTCTTATGATAATAATAATAAATAATAATAATAATAATAATAAAGCTTAATCATTAAATAAGTTCTTAAAAATAGCATTAACTATGATTTAGCAATACCTGTGGTAGTTCCTAAAATAGTTTACTGATTGTTTTCGCACAGATTCTTGGAGGTCTTCAGATCTGCTTCCACAAAAGTCTTCACCAATATCAATAAGCCTGAAATACAAAAAGTGTATTAAAATATTTTAAAAATTGTTTACAAAAGATCTTTTTTACATTACTTTTTTTCAAATACATATTTAAATATTTTTCTCAAGTCTACAGTCTCAAATTTTGATTTTTAATTTTTACAAATCCAAGATCTTGAATATTTTTTTTAAAGTATGTAATATATGGCACTGGAAACATCTCATATGACATAAATAAGTGTTTATCAATTAGATAAATCATATACTGTATCAAACAGATAACTGGTGGATAATCTTAAATTGTAATGTGGCAGAACGTTAAGTGAAGGTGTAAGCTAAACAGGATAAAACATTGTTGACACCCAGTTCAGACATTAGAATAAAGGAGTATTATTGCTCATGAAAGTACAGAAAGTTTTGAAACATCTAAAAGTAAAAAAGTTCTTTTTAAGCTGTATATGGAGAAATGGAAAAATGCATATCAATGCAGGCAGGCAGCTCTGAGAAAGGTGTAAGTATGGGATATGTCCACCATGGAGTGCAATACGACTTTCCACATGTCATGTCATGTTTTGCACAACATTACCCAGCATCTGATCCCACTAATCTGTCAGGGTATGGTGTTCTTTTTAATTACTGGATACTTTCAATAAGCAAGTTACTTCCCCACAGCAACTGAAATACTTTCGACAGGGTTTAGATCTGGAGGATGTGCTGGCCATACAAGGCAATGAATATTCTTGCTGTCTATACAATCCTGAACATCGAGTGTTCCATGACACGATGCACTGTTTAGAAAAAGAAATTTATCACCAAAAGCACCATGGAAAAGGCGAACTAGCAGTAGTAGAACTTCATGAACATAATGTTGGCCAAGATGAAACCACACGTAGAGGTGGGAAGCCATCGATATTATACTGGCCCATACCATGATACTACATTTCAGATATTGCTCCCTTTCCTTGGTATTTCTGGGGTGATATGCAGTACTACTCACATACCAGATCAGTTGGCATTTACAATCCAATGGCAGACTGAACCTCCTCTCATCTGAGAATAGTATGAAAGCCCAGTCCAATTGCGATGCTTTATTTTAATAATTGCAAACATGCAGTATATTGCTGTCGGGACAATGGGATATACATCACAGGTCTGCTTAGTCCTCCTTCCCCTCAATGCCTGGGTGCAGTTTTTCAGGAAATACACTGTCCCGTGCCAGGAATAAACGCATTCTGCACCTGCTGGATTGTGGTGTGCTGATTTCTTCTTGCAAATACAACAATGTTTCTGCCTCCTGCAGGCATCGTACTTTAACACGACCTTCCTTGTGGCACTGGTTACATGTTGTAGTTGTTTTAAATGCTTTCCACAGAAGTGAAAAATGCTGGGGGCAACGTTGAACTCCTTGGCAATATCTGTTATTATTCACCCTCTATCTCTAATGATATGGTCATGCATAAAAATGTTTGAGTGATGTTGCACGTTGTTTTCATAACAACTGCCGCTGCGACCAGCGAACTCACTTACATTGCCCTTATCTGGAGGGAAAAGAAGGTTCGAGTATTCGTGTAGAAGTTTCCCTGTTTTAATGAATAGTTGTGTTAATAAAGTTGTTCAGTATGGAGTCATGTCTTCTAAGAATATTCACCGAGCCATATCCTTCATGCTTATAATATCAATAAATCTTTCCTACAAAACTTTCATTGGGTACAATTGCCTACATGTATCAAACCCTTTAAATCTTTGATCAATGCTATCATGCAATGAACAGGGGCAAGGGAATGAAAATTTGCATATGTACTTTGATTTGATTTTCTTACTGTATTCCACACATATCCTAATTTCCCCCATTTTGCTTCCTTTTATTTTGTGGTTGCTATGGGTTGTACTGCTGTTGGTCCCTTCAGCTGTGAAATAGTGTACACTTCTAAAAATAAAATAGAGATAATGAAGATATTTAAGAAATACATACAAGAGTTGATACAAAAATAAGGTTCCTATCAATGTTACAAATAGACAACTGTGAGAATAGTAATTTCTCACACCACGCAGTTTGCCGGCATCACAAATTTTAATCGTAATCACGGAACTGCACGTGTGTATATAAGCACCAGTCAGACTGGTTTCTGCCCTTCTTCCCTTCTGCACCTGTGGCCTTCCTGCAGTCACTTGGCAATTAGCGATGCCCCATGTTGTGCAGTTTTGTGTTCCTGCATGTCGTGCTAATGGAGTTTCATCGTTCCTGATATTTTCACATGGAGTGTCGTCGTATTTTTGCATAAAAAGAAGCAGAACTAAAGGTTGTGCTTTATTTAGATGAAAATGCTCAGTGTTAAAATCCATCTGCCACGATACCGTACTAAAGCATCTCAAGCAGATTATCTATAGGTGTTCGACTCCAGAATGTGCATTACCAGCGATGTGTGACCACGTGATTATTTTAAGTGTATTAAAGAATGTGAAAGTGAAAAAAAAGATCTTGCACATGTACAACAATATTATGGGCACTGCATGAAATTAATACGAGAAAATTGTGACTGCATATATGTTCGATGAGAGAGGATTGTAATTTATCTCCGAATAGTCACGTTTCGGCATTAGCCTACTATTCCATTTTAATTTATCACGTTTTGTGTTCTAAGTTATGATATTTTGATATTTTATATGTGTGTGATAAATGTTTCATATTTAATCCAGAAAATGTGTTTGATAAAATAAATGTGAGATTAGAAAAAGAAATTTGTCTCCGCAAGTCCCATTGAACCACCTTGTACTCCGTTCTTCACCTTAGATGCCCTAGCGACCAGCACTAAACCTCTGTCAACTGACGATGAATATCCATGGGTGAAGTCCCTTTGGAATGCAAAAAGTGAATTACAGAACGAATCTCGCACTTGGCAGGAGCAAAAATGGGCATCTCCATTTTGGATAGCAGCTGTGTCAAGACTGAGCGGTGCAGCGAAATGTGGTCGGGTGGAATCAAGAGTGAGGGGGAACAGCCGCACACAGCTGTGTTGCCGGATTTCAACTCACACCTTCCTGTGCGGCTGGAGCTCTTTGGGAACCTTACTTCTGAAATGACCTATGTACTTTGTGTTTTAGACTGCTTAATCTGTTGCATTATATAGAATGAAATTATACAGTTTGAAAAATAAATTTAAAATTTTCTTCTACAAGACTGGTAGAAGGGAGAATCAGCTGTTTATAAGATTATAAAGTGATGAATGGAACAATAATGTAAAATAATTGTATAAATGTAAGGTGAAAATAAAAATGAGAGCACTTCACAAATGATATTTTTAATACTGAAACTCATCATGGAAGAAGAATATTCAAGGAGAAAATATACAGCCATATGCTAAGTAAAATCAGATAAGAATCTCTTTACAAGTTGAGCTATAAATCAGTTAGACTAGATGTAAACATTATTTAGATTTGTTTTTTTATTCCCATTTGTAGGGAAGAAATTATGTTATAAAATAATGATAATACAATTAGATGGTTTAGCAATGTACAACATGCCACATTTTTTGCAGTACTAAGAGATTACCCTGTTCATAGCAAACTTACCTTTGTATTAAAGCTAGGATGTGTATGAACTCGTCAAATTTAAATGGAGATATATCAGAAGCTAAAAGATATCCTTTAACCTTTTGTTGCACATCTTGCCATATTCTTAACAAGCCATGTTCCAACTTTTGTTTAATATAATTACGATTGAATGAGGATTCTACACTGGAAGCTGAAGAAGTATCTATGGGAAAAAAGTAAAAAGAAATTAACTGAATAATTTGCAGTGTTTAATAGCATATCTGCATTTTTTTCTATGACCATATCAAGAGATGTATAGCATTAAAACAATATACATGAAAGAGTGAAAGACTACAAATGGACAGAATGATTTTTTTCAACTTCACGTTCTTTTACCAATTTAATCCTACAACTTTAGAGATTCACTATGCAAATATCTTATACAGATCTGTGAAATGTAAAGGACAATGTGTGTATTTGTAAGAATAATAAATACGTGTAATAGACAATAATTGAAAAAAGGCTTTATATTATATAATTTTTTTTCCAATTTAGAAATTTCCCAGCTTTGTAATGATATTAACAATGAGAAGTTTCTTCTTAGCCTGCTCAGAAAGTTAATATTGCAAATCAATATAAAAATATCATTTTAAAAGAATAATATTTTTTTTTTTTTTTCATCTGCTGAGCACATACTGTAACATAAAAAAATACTAGCCATCTTATTCAGCCAGACATAATCAAACTTTCTTTTCACATCCCTTTTCAAAAGGGACAAGCATCTAATCATTAAGTATCTAACACCATGAAACTCTCACCGGCAGCTCTCAGCAACTAAAATGGAAAATGGACAACTACATGAGATTTTTTTTTCATGGGTGACATACTACACAATTAATCTTACAAAGTTCTAATTTAATGAAGTAATACACTTCAGTTTTCAAAACATATATTATTATGAAAAAAGTGGCAAAGGAAATAGTTACACACAATCAAATAAATTTTTAATACTTTTTAAAAGAAAACATATATTATTATAAAAAAGTAGCACAGGAAACAGTCACACACAATCAAATAAATATTTAATGCTTTTTTTGAAAGACTGAATATAGTGGCTGAATAGCAGAACACTCACAGTTAGTTTGAGGTCTGCTGCCACAAGTAAATTTTATTTTATCTAGTATTATCAGAATAATTTATGTTTAAGATTATAACAAATAACATGGATTTAGAAGGCAAACTACCTTGCAGGATAAAATGTCACATGTAAATATACTCAACATTTAATATTTTAGATTATGTGACACTTTATGCACATATAATAAGGAAATTAAAATTAGATCCTGATCTTGTTTTGAGAAAATTGCCTAAACATATCTACACATAGGTAATTTTCTTTAAAAAAGACTAAGAGCTAATTTTAATTTTGCTTTCTATATTATTAGAAAATGAAAATCTGTGATTTTTAATTTTCTAAAATAAGGCCTTTAAGGAATTAATTAGTTTTAAATGAAAAAATAATTTTTTAACAATTAACTTGAAAATTTATGGAACTCAATTTTAATCTAATAATAAGAATTAAAAAAATGAAAGAAAATCACCTTCCGAAGGTTTTCTATTTTCATCATTAACTTCATGCCATTCTAAAATACACCAGTAACTATGCATTATCTTCCAAAGTGCTTTGCATAAATTTGTCAAACAAGCAGTAAAGTTTTCAGAACCTACAAACTAGAAGCAAAATTTGAATTTTTTTGGGGGGAGGGGAGTAAAAAGGCAACTATACAATAAGATCAAAATACTTCATAAGAAATTTTAAACTGATGCTGTATTATTTAAGAAAATTCTTTTTAATCTTCGTTAAAATTTTACTTAATTTTCAAGTATAAAAAAAAAAACAGCAATTTTTACCAGTAGCACCTGCTTTTAAGCAGTCAGTAACATGTGGTGTAGTGGCCGAAACCGCTATGCAAAACCTGGGTTGTGACATCAGGTTCAAAACAAGACACAGCATAAAAATTTTATTGAACGCAAAAAAAAAAAAAAAAAAAAAAAAATGGCTACATACAATTCGACAAGAGAGAACTTATTATCTTCAAAAATCATATTCTATACATTTTACGTGCGAGAGTAATTCGTGGCTCTCGAGCTTGCATTTTTAACATTGCCAATGATTTAATTATTTTAATAAAGACTATTTTAATAACTATTGAAAACGTATTTGTAAGTTAAAAAAATAATAATTTTCAGCTTATGCTCACGAGAGATCCTTGTCCATATAAATCTTCAGTCTCTTCTTCTTTTATGTAACCTCAACACAACTCCTCCCCTCATAAAGAAATTTTTCTTGACTATGGAAGAAAAAATTCTAAATACATTTCACTGCTTTCAAAACACAAGTGGTAAGTAACCATTTAAGTGATAATAGAGAAGCCAGTTACATTACCCTGCACTTATTTCTAGATAACATAAACGCATAAATACAACAAAAATAATTTAAACTACTCCTAATGTCTGCCTTCAAATTTTACACAATGCTAATACTTAAGATAAAACATTTAATTCTAACAATTTTTTAGAAAATGAAATACATGATGCAAACAATTTTGAAGTAAAATAATATAATGCTAAAACACTACAAAAACTATTTTCATCCCTTTTTGTTAACACTGCATCCACTAGTGACATTCCGTCACTAGACTAAAGCACGACTCAAGTCATCTGCATTACCGTGTAATTTGCCTGGCCTATCAACAATTTCAAAATTGTACTGCTGGCGACACAAAGCCCAGCGAGTCAAACGAGAATTTGATCCCATCATTTTGTTTAAAATTGTCAACGGATTATAATCGGTCTGGATCTTGAATTTTTGTCCGTCTAAGTAAGGATTTAGTTTCTTCAGTCCATAAATAATGGTAGTTCTCTTTCAATGGGTGCTATAATTTCGCTCTGCTTTAGTAAACTTTTTGCTAAGATACAGTATAGGGTGTTTTCTCCCATCCTGAACTTGAGACAACACAATACCACACCATATAGCTGGCATCTGTCTGCACAATAAATTCTTTAGAATAATCTGGTGCAAATAAAACCGGACTTTTTACTAGTTTGGTCTTCAGTTTGTTGAAAGCCTCGTCACACTCTTTTGTCCAAATCACTTTTGGTTTTTTGTTTTTGCCCTTCAAAGCGTCTGTGAAAGGTGCCGCAATACTGGCGTAGTCTTTTATGTACCTTGCATAGTAGCCCACAGTACCAAGGTAGCTACGTATCTGTGTTTTAGTAGTGGGGATCGGAAAATCTCTGATTGCTTGAATCTTGGCCTCACTAGGCGACCTTTTCCCAGACCCTACTTCATGACCCAGAAATTTCACATGGTCTTGTGCGAATTTGCATTTTGAGGGCTTAACACAGTCAATTTAGCCTCCTGAAGGCGACTTAAAACCACATCCAAATCCTTCATATGCCTGTCTCAAGTCGGCGAAAAGACTGCGATGTCATCAATATATGGTAGAACAAAATCGTCCAGCCCTCCTAAAACTTGAGCGATTTACAAAAATAGAAAGGCGCATTTAAAAGCCCAAACATCATTTTCTTCGGAATGAAAGATCCAAAAGGCGTCACAAATGCGGCATACCTCCGTGCACGCTCCGTGAGTGGTATCTGGAAGTATCCTTTGGTTAGATCCATGATTGTGATAAATGGAGCTGCGCTGACTTTTTCTACCACTTCTTCAATATTGGGAAGAGGGAAAAATTCGGTCATAGTTTTTTAATTTAATTTTCTGTAGTCTATACAAGGACAAGGACCTTTACCTGGGACCTTTACTATAATCATAGGCGAAGCATAATCAGATTGCCCGACTTCTATGACTCCTAACTCAAGCAATCGCCTAATTTCCTCTTTTAGGATGTCGGTTTGTCTCATCAACATTCGGTAAGGCCTGACTCTAGCCGGAGTCTCATCCAACAATTTAATATCCATTTCGACCAAAAACGTACAGCCGGGGTCGGATGAAAACACCACTCCATACTTCCCTTATAACTTCCTTGGAATTTTCCTATTTCCGCTGCCGTAGCTCTTTCTTCTAGCTTCCTATCTCTAACTATTTTCCAAAAATCTACCTGAGTTGGATCAGCCAAGGGATACGGAATATTCCACTTCTCCCATCGATATCTTCCATGACCTCCTCCATCACAAGATTCACAAACTCGGGGCGCTGATAATAAGGTTTCATCAAATTTACGTGATAAATGGTGTCACTGGTACGCTTACCCGGAATCTCTACCATATAACTGGTTTTGGAAATCACACTAGTTACTTTACCTGGCTCTATCCAGTTCAGAGCCATTTTGTGTGGTTTAGACGTGGCTAAAATAAGCACGAGATCTCCGACCTTAAACCTTCTTGTAACAGCGTTGCGATCATACCAGAGTTTCCTTTTACTCTGACACTCTTTCATCCTCTATACAGCCAGCTCCTGACACTTCTTTAATCTGTTTATTAAGTCTAGAACATACTCGACCACAGTGGGGTCTGAACTTTCTTCCTCTAGCCAGTTTTCATACACAATCGTTTGAGGCATTCTCAAATTTTTTCCATGTACTAACTTGCAGGGACTAAAACCTGTGCTCTCGTGGCTAACAGTTCTGAGGGCGAACAAAGCACATGGCAAACATTCTTCCCAGTCCTTCCCGCTTTCCAAGCACAAAGACTTCAATACCCTTTTCAAGGTGGAATGCAACCTTTCAACAGAATTGCTTTGAGGGTGACACACAGAAGAATGATACACCTTAATTCCGAACTTGCTAAAAAACTCAGATGTAAGTTCACTGGTAAACGATCTACCCAAATCACACTGAATTTCCTTAGGGTAACCTGATCTAGAAAAGATTTTTATCAAGGCTTGAATCACACATTTAGAGTTTAAATTCCGTACAGGAATGGCATCTGGATATTTGGAAGCAACACAAATAGACGTAATTAAGTATTTATTTTCACGCGAACTAGGGATCAGAGGTCCTACTGCATCAATATGTAATCTGCTAAACACTTCTGATATAACAGGCACAATCTTCATAGGGGCTTTCTTTTTATCCTTATTGTGACCTACACGCTGACAAATATCGCACGTCTTCACAAATTCTTCAATTTCCTGGTAGCAATTAGGCCAGAAATAGTGTGTCAAAACTCTATCTTTGTTACCCCTAAATGACCAGAGATTTCCTCGTGGCACAACTTCAAGATCCCTTTCCTAAAAATGAGAGGCACATAGAGCTGACGCTTATCTTCCCCTTTTTTAGAACTTGCCACTCTGAATAGTCTTTCTTTGACTATTATAAACTCTTTTTCATTTTCACTTTCCCCTTTCTTCCATAGGGTCGCTAAACTAGCGCAAGTTTTTTGTGCTTCCAAGAATTCTGCTGATGAAACGTCTGCAAGGATAGACCTTTCCTCTAAACTAATGTCTGGAATTTTAATGTTCTCCTCTGTTTTACTGGTTAACTTCCTTTCTTCTGAATGCTAATTTTTGACGGCCCTTTCACTTTCTATCTCTTTCTTTTCTTCCGATCTGGAATCTAAATCTTTTGCACTAGCTCTCCCTAAAGTCCTGCGTGCATGCGCCTGACTACGAGTCTCCACAGCATTCAAGAGAAATCCGTCGAAAATACGACTCTCCACAGCATTCAAGAGTTCCCTAATTTCCTCAATCAACTGTGCAGTTTTATTCCCTAACAAATAGTACTCTTTATCTAACTCTACTGGAATAACCGCTGCCTTTGTGGTGACCACACCAAAATCACCTTCAATGGTGACTTTCGCCAAAGGTAAGCATTTACATTCTGTGTCCAAAGGCTGTTTCACCCATACAGTTTCCCCAAATAAGTCACTAGTATTAATCCAAGTACTATTACACAGATCTATACCAGCTTCAGTATCTCTCAGATATTCTCTCTCTATCCCATTAATTACTGCTTTCTTGAAATACGGCTCAAAACATTTTCCTAAATTCTCCGTTCCTAGATTATTCACCAGATTAGCCTTATTCTTTTCCAGCGATGGACAGTTAGGTCGGATATGTCCGTCCTTTCCACATTGGTAACACTTTATTTTCCGTTGTTTCTCGAAACCTGCTTCATTGAAAACTTGCTTTTTTTTTAGGAGCCTCCACTTATCTATGCTCCTCTGATTTAATTCTTTGATGACCACTACTTTTCTGATTATAACTACAGTTAGAATTTACATACCACTCTCTATCTTTCTCAAATGGTTTCTTTAATGCCGCTCTCTGTTCTAACTTCCTCGTATCTCTTCGCAAAGCCTCATACTTGTCGCATTTCTCTGCTAAAATGGAAGCTGTTTTAAAATCTTCCCAATTGACTAAGTAGTGCTCTCTCTTATTCTAGAGGGACTCGCCGCTTAATTTGCTCAGTGAGCATAAGTTCCTTAAGACTTTCAAATCTTGAATTTCTACTGAATCCAACCAATTCTCTAAATACACTCTCAATTCATACACTAAATCCACCCATACATTCCGTTTTTTCTAGAATGTTCTTCAAATTTTGTTTTTAGTGCCCAAGAACTAAGCTTGAATCTCTGCGATGAGTAATTTCTTAACATGCTGATAATCATCCCCTTTATCCGCTGGTTCTTTCACTATTAACTGGGCTACATCGTGAGATAATAAAGGAATTAATTGCAAGACCCAATCAATCTCATTAAGTTCTCTTTTTGAG